GGCCTCACCACACATAAAGATTGAAGTTGATATAAATGAAAAAAAAAAAAAAAAGAAAAAAAAAAGGTAAGAACATTCTACTAAAATTGGAGAAAGGCAAAAGGAGTGAAATGAAATAATGATAACAAGAAATTTATACGTAAGAGCCATGTAGATTATATTTCTAAAATCATGGTTTTTCTTTTTCGTTTTAAACCTACAAAAGTTAATCTATAACGAATTTTTTAAAAGAAAAAAAAGCTAATCCTATAATAACATCACAGTACATATTACATACATGTGATTGAAATATTTGGGTCCGTTCTTGTTTCCCGTATGGATTTGCAACTGAATAATTCTTCAAAACCTTCCCATGAGGAATGATATGTACAATAATTGTGCGATCCAAATGCAGAAATTACACAAACCAAAATCCTTCATAAATATATATGTTGCAGAAACAGAAAAGAAAAAACAAGTGTGGGGCATTTTATAGTCATTTCTTGAACTCCAGAGAGCCTAGACGTTGAGGAGCTTCCACTCCCTAAAATACTTAAGCACCTTGTCTGATTAGTGGGTATTTTCGGACCATGATCATCTTGATTCGCTTGCAGAATCTCAGAAAGAGTGTAGGTATACCTAAACTCTGCGGATTCCGTCCATGGCCAACCGTCTCGGATATCCAATCGATCGACTCGCTTTCGCGACGAGGGGTCGAACCCGATTCTAAAAGAACTCCATGAACTATAGCCGCCAGTTGTTTAAACTCCCCACCATCAAACCCTAATTCTTTCCATAAAACCCTACTCAAGAACAAACAAGGGGTCAACTCCATGGTCATTTTCTTTCTGGGTTTTATTGTTCAGATTTGAAGCTTTCACGGACGATTCCTGCGTTGAATTGGGAATCTGGAGAAAGGATTTTTGGCTGCTCATGATGTTAATTTACACGAACAATGTGGTGGTGGATATTGCACAATGAAAAACCCTAATTAGACGTTCATTAGAAAACAAAGGAAAGAACGAAAAACAAATTAACTGCGGGTCATTAAAAATGAAATCTTACCTTTAGAAAAAAACAGAAATCTTTTGTTGCTTTTTGAAACCATAAAAGTCAAAACAAGGGACGCGTTCGAAACTCTGATTTAAGTTTAAACAATATTTTTTCTCAAAAAAGCTTTAAGTTAAAAAGTTCCCAAAAAAGCTTTAAGTTAAAAAGTTCCGTTGTTTCAAAATTATTTTATTTTTTATATAAAAATGAAAATGAAAACATTTTCAATCTCAGACAGAAATCATTTTTAAAAATGCATTTAATAATTTTATCAAGAGATTATTTTCAGTATAAAAAAACACATTAATGTCTCTCTCTTTCTCCATACTCGAGAGAGGAGAAAACGAAAATAAAAAATGAAAAACAACTAAAAGTCGTTTTTCATTTCTCTCTCATTTTACACTAAACTAAAAAATCGATTTCATTTCCGTTTTTTGTCTTTATTGCGCTAAACGCCGTTTTAGAAACGTTTTCATTTTTTCTTTCTTGAAAATCGTGAAAAATAAAAACATGATCAATTCCAAACACGGCCAAAGAGTTTCTTAAATGAGATTAAAACGACATTACATAATATTTTCTCACTCATCAGAAATGGCAGTAAATCTTTTTTAGAGAATTGCTATAAATAGGTCAAGGAATTCAAATCACCAGTGTCCAATTTCGTATGTCAATTAGTGCCTAACCAATAACAGTTGATTAAAAAAAAACAAAGGTTGGAAGTAAATAGCAAAATTTTTAATAAATGGGACATTGTAATTGAAACCCTTATTTTTATTCACGTAACCCTAAGTAAAGATATTACAATTAATATTTAAAATTATTTACATGTTATGTTAAAATCTCTTACGATTCCCTTTAAAAAAATCTCTTATGATTCCCCAAATATCCACCCCAGCGGCCACATCCCACGTTTTGCTAACTGATCAGTATAACTTGCCGTTCTTAAAAAAAATAAAAAAAAATAAAAAAAAAATAATAATAATAATATCTTTGGTTTTGGTGTTTTGCTAAAGCACTTTCTGTCCAAATAAAAGCAACTTGCCATTCTTCTTTCTTTTTTCCCTAATTAGTTTTTTGCTGAGATACTTTCGATTCAATTTTATGATAACATCGTACACGTTATTGATGTTGTATCAATCAAAATTTTTAAAGGAGGCAGAATATTTATTTATGGATATAAAAGAGAGAGCACTAAATAATTACGTAATTTTTCCTTTTCTTTGCTTATTATTGAATATACGCATTTATTTTTTCAGGGATCCAATTCTGTAATCTGTTCGTCTGTTAGGGTGCGCAGGTTATAATAATAATAATTTTGTTTTCCTTAAATATTTCACCAAAAACTAAGGAAACCGTTTACCTTCATACTTTTGCTCTAATTTACTGGTCACAATACTAGAGAAAACGACAAAGAGTGGGAAATGAAAGATAGAAATAAAATATGGTTTTTGGACAAAACAAAAAAATAAATAAAAAGGTTTAGTTCTCTCAAAAAAAAAAAAAAAAAAAAAAAAAAAAAACCAGTAAGAAAATTTAAAGAAAAGAAAAAAAGTGGTTCTTCTCAAACGGGACTACTTATATTTAGGGCATGCAGACCGACTGCACGCTACTCTCGTGAAATTAAGGCAGAAATTAAGCAATTAAAATGGCAGCCGCTCGTGCAGTCGCTGCTTCTCTTTACATTCATCAGAAACAACATAAGCCTCCAAAATGGTGGGAAGAGTCCAATCACCCTTGTCTCTTTGTGAGTAAGGTTTTGTGATCAACTCAGAACTCAATACATTGAAGACAACTTTTCTTCTCATTGTTATGTCGAGACTTGCTATATTAATATAGTTCTCCGGCTGATATTGATAAAGAAATACTCAGCTTATTATAGTTCCATCTTTTTACCTATATATTCCGGTTATAAAATAATAATTACTTCTATAGATAGGATCATGCCTCTAAGCTTATGCTTCTTTGTTAGCCTCCCTTATATCTTAAATGATTTTTTTTATATGTTTACGTTCCGTTTAAACCATATGTTGTTTGCCTAGTTAATATTGTTGTGATTTCCTAACTTTTTGTTTTTGGTTGGTGTTATGCAAGAGTACGTGTTTCTAGAGTAAGGAATTCCACATATTGTTTTTGGTTGGTTTTGTGCCAGAGCAATAAAGAGAAAGTATTGACCAATAATCATCAAGGTCTTAAGCCAAATATATGAATACTAATTCTGTTTATAGCTAACTACAAAAATTTAACAGAAAATCACTCATTATAAATTGATAATCAATTAAGCATCAGAAAAGGATAAATAAGGAAGCACAAAGTACCATGAAATGACATTAATGAGGTTGGATCAAAGCGTCAACATAATCCAAAATCTGAAAACTGTTGTATATTAGAGTAATAAATATTAACCAAAAGTCCAAGAAGCCAACGAAGTTAATTCATCAATTCACTCAAACTTGAAACGGAAAGTTCGTTAAGGAATCACATTTTATCTACATATGTAACATCTGTCGCTTCCTTTCACGGATATTTTAGAAAACGTAATGTTTGAATGTGAAATTTAAATATCATCTACGATTTATTTTAAGTAAATTAATGTTTTATGTAGTTATGTCACAGGTGAGGCCACGAGGGACTGATGTGCCCGAAGTGTTTATTTTTGGGTTAGTGACCCTTTTTGTCCATTGCGTCATGGGGCCGAGGAGTCTGCCGATTTTTTTTAATGCTTCTTTGCTTTAGTACTTTGGTTTGTCTCGCCTTTTGCGTTGCCTCTAGATTTTTCGGATAGAGATCTAAGAGTGGGCTAATTCGGCCTGGCATAGCCCATTTTCCTTAGGCCCACACGAGCCCTAGGCTGGGCTAGCTCAACTTACTCTTTTGATGGGCCAGGCCGGTATATCAAAGACCAACTTACAGCTCTGCCCGTCCATGGACTAATTTTTCGTGTGTCAGGTTGGGTCGTGCCATAAGTCAAGCTAAGTCCAACCACGAGCCTTTTTCAGACCAACCCATATGAGCTGATTTATGAGTTAAGGTTGATCTTGGCCCATCATAAGTTTGGATCGGCCAACCCATCTTGGCATGTGTTTTACCAATTTTTTGTTATTTTTTTTTAATATTTACTTTTGAATTTCTAAACAAGTTAATAAATATAAAAATCTAAATAGTCAATACAAATATAAAAAGAAATATTTTTATTTATATTTGTCTCATTTAAAACATTTTAAAGATGTTTACCCAGTGTAACAAAATTTGGTTAAGGATAAAAGAGTACAGTCAGATTATTGCACATAAATAATAAAAAATAAACATTATCCATAATTACAACGTACTAGCTGTATCACAAATATCAAAGGTCATAGGAGAACATTGCTATATATATTAGATTAGATATAACAAATGTATATAGCAAATACTAATTTTTTTAAAAAATAATACTATATGTATTATATATATATTAGAAGTTGGGTCAAAATAGACCTTAAATGGGTCAACCCATTCTGAGCTAGAAGGGCCGGCTTAATTTGTGAATTTTCATAGGCCGTATCGTGTCTGGGTAGCTCAATCTACTAATATTAATGGGCTAAACTGTGTCCTAAACAGTGTCACACTGTGCCATACCGGCCTAACACTTACAGGATGGATTTAGGTTGTCCCACAAACCCTGCCCATAGCTGCATCTCTATTTTTGGGGGGACTTGATGTGAAAAAGGCCGTGGAGTTAATTGTGAATCCGCTTAGCATTATTTGTGCAAACAGCGAGGAAGCAACAAGTTTCTCTGTTTAATTTTAAAGATTTTTTCGCATTAATATCTCATGAGTATTAATTATATAAAACAACAATTTCAGAATATTTATCTCGTAGTAAAACCACATATTATAAGATCAAGAAAACAATAGAGTATCACAAGAAATCGAAATGTTACATGATCTATATAGAGCCTTTGATCATGCTGAACAATTATTAGTGAATAAAATCAATAACGAGAGTTTAAAAAATTGCAATTGGTACGAATTTCGCCTTCATTTGGACCAGTTAGGACTTGAACATTCCCAAGCTTTTTCATTGACTTCTTAAACTGTAAGAAGAAAGTTGACTGGTCGTAAGCCAATGTCTTAACAATATAAGAGGTCCTTGGATCAGAATAGAGCATTCGATCTGTTGATAAAAGTCCATTTTTCTTGTAAATTAGATTTATGAAGTATTCGTTGTCGAACTCATTGGGAGTTGTTGGGTCAAGCTCAACGTAGTCTGAGGCCCATCTGCATTTTCTTTGCAAGTAATCAAGATATTTTTGGTCAATATTGGACTGATATGGCAAAGCAGTTTTATTGTAGAGCCAATGATGTATTGCACCGCAAGAAGACTTCCCAATGGTGTGTGCCCCTGAAAATTTTCGACCATTAATTTGTATGGAAAAAGTCTTAAATTAAAAGAGGGTTTTGTGGCGGGGTAAAAAAAAAAAAAAACCTTAAAAATCATAACTACGAAATTATTCTAATGTAATTGAAACTGATGAAATCTAAAGGATTCAGGGTTGTTGTCAAATCACTCTAATTAAAATTGGCTTTCCTAACTGTAACAAATTAAAGGTAGTATGGAACTAATTTCAATATTTTGTGCCGCTTGATTAATGCTAATTTACGATTGCTCCTCCTTTTACCAAAAATTCATGAGAATCAAGCTGAATCAATATTCTATATGGTTGCAGGTATAACTAATTAGTTCATGGCAGATATTTAGAACGATATATATAGTTATTGGATCCGTATTCCCTTATGAAATTCCAGTACTAGAAAATTACTGAAATAAAGTTATAGGCAATAAAATTTTTGAAGTTGATGCTCACCTGAGAGAGCAACCAAATCATCGATGTCCAACCCTAAGGACTGGAAAAACTCAATCAAATCTGTAATGCTTTCCCGGCCCATCGGCACCAGCGATTCAGCCTCCTCGGCATTGGAAATGAAACCATCTTTCCTGCCATAGTCGACTGTCCGGTATCTACCACCGGTTGCAACCGCCGCATCTCTAGCCGCCGCAGTCAGAATATCGGCACACGACACTGTTCTTGGACACTTCTTCTCAACTTCTGCCTTAATCTCGTCCATCACTTCAAACCCTCTGAGTGTCTTGCTTGTTGTGGCTTTCCTCTCGCTTCCCTCGTGGTTGAGTAGAATGGAGGCATCACATCCCTAATGTTGCATTAATGTACATATTTTGTAGCATATATTAAAAATGAATTTGATTAATGCACAGGAAAACAAAAAGAATTTACAATAAGTAATGCAAAAAAAAAAAAAAAAAAAAAAAAAAAAATTTAAAAAAAAAAAAAAAAAAAAAAAAAAAAACATTGGACACGGCGATAGCTGATGTTTGTGAAAAGCTTCGTGATATTGACACAAAATACTTCTTAAAAAAATTAATAAACCTACTATAGTAACTAGGGAACCTTTATGATAGAGAAAACTCACTAGGTAGCAAATTTCTAGGTAGAAAACTCACTAGATTGCTACATCATAATAATGTAACACTTTTCAAAATCACAACATATGTGAATAATATGATACAACTAGATATATAACAAGTGATAATAAAGATGTATATATGTATCTTACTCGGACAGCACAGTCATGGAAGTGCAACCTGAGGAGACTAGCAGCAAGAGTGACATCCTTGCCAACCCATTCCCGAACTTTTTTACTCACAATGGATTCAAATTCCGGGCAGCTCCGGTAATAGTAGTAAGCCGAAAGCGAATCCTCGCCGTTGTAGGGCTTCTTCTTGTCTTGACTATTATCAGGGAATACATTTGGAACCGTTAGAGAAAAGACAGTACTCTTCCAAGGCTCATGTTGATCATCATGATCTCCATGATCCTTGTCATGATATTGATCATCATGATCTCCACGATCCTTGTGATCATGGTATTGATCATCATGATTATCCTTGGGATGATCTTCATAATTCTTGTACTTTGAGGCTGCCGGGACTTTTTGTTCTTTGGGATCATAATTGTCATAGGAATAGGAATATGATGAGGATTGAACTTGTTGATCTTCTTCTGAGCGATATTTGGCGGGTTCATAATAGGAGGATGATGATGAGGCTGAAACTAAGTGGGATGTTCCGAGAATAACAACTAGAAAAAGAAAACTAATACTGGCTGAAGGATTCATGGCTGAAAAAACAATCGCAAAATTGGACAATGTTTTGGGCTAATTTTTTGTTTCCCTAATTCCAATGGAACAAAAGCAGTACTATTGGTGGATGATATATATATATATGTAACTTTGTTAATTACTAATCAAGGAGTTATATTATTAATTTGTATAATGATCGGGACTACGTGGGAAGCACCTCCATGCTAAATGCCGGAGACATGCCAACACGTATAAGTAGAAGAGAATATTCATTCCATAATCATTATAGGTAATATGAAAAAAAAAAAAAAAACATTTGACTTTTCACATTCGCATCATTTGTATATCTCTTTTGGTTAGTGCTGAAGGTGTCACATAAATATCGTAATATATAGAGTAAAAGGAGAATTTGAGGAATCTTCCTATCCAGCTCCTACCATAGCTCAGGGCTTGATGAGCAAAATAGCTGAGTTTGAATTGATCCCGTTCATTTCACTGATTTGAGTTTAAAATTTGAGTTTTGTTACAGTAAAAAGTTTTTAGAAACAGTCACATCTAACTTTTTTGTTACAGTAAAAAACTCTCACATAAAGTCACATCTCAACTCAAATTAAAAACTTGAATCAACGAACTAAACGGGCCCAGGGGGATAATTTTAATACGTGTTTTTTTTTAGGGAAATAGTAGAAAATAGGCCAATATGAAAAGCTTAAGAAAGTATATAGGCCAATTTTTAGTTATAGAAATTAATAGGTCATAACTTGTCAAGTTATGGTTCATAACCAGATAAGTTATGGACAAACTTGTCAAGTTACGGGTCATAGCCAGACAAGTTATGGACAATTATGGACAATAATTTGTCAAGTTATGGTTCATAACCAGACAAGTTATGGACGAAAACAGTAATTTGGCATATTTATTAACTTATATAAACTATTGGTTTATGAATTTTAATTCATCTCAAGTTTTGGGCTATTTCTCTCTTTCTCCTTTTTTTTTTTTTTTTTGCCCCGAATCTTCCAAAGTGGACATATTTGGTTATTGGTCTAAGCATCAAAGGCCAGCCCAATACCACGTTAGTAATCATCTGAGCTTGAGAAGGTTGCAAAAATTGACCCAACACATTCTTGGGGAGTTTTACCCTTTTAATGTGATAAGCTATCATTTTGATAATAATATGTCAAATTATAGATAATGATTTGTCAAATTTTAAATAATGATTTGTCAAATTTTAGATAATAATCTGTTAAATTACGTCCGCCACTGGCGACCGGAGACCCGCCGTCGGCAAAATCTGTCAAATTATCGATAATAATATATCAAATTACTTACTCTAAAAGGACAAAATTTAATAGGCCAATATTAGGACTTAAAAATCTTTACTGGTACCATTTTAAAAGATGTTTATCAAAACTACCCTATGAGCTTCAGTCTTTGGTGGGCGCAAATCAAGGCCCAAACTCGACCTCTAACCCAAGTTTAATTTATAATTGTGGTTTGATCATGTTAAGCAAGGTGCTATATAGAAAAGGCAATTCAGAGCAAGGGGAGCTCGGCTGAGAAGTAAATGACGCAAGTCAGGCGAGAGAAAAACGGAGAGGCATATGGCGCAAGTTCACACTGGTCAAGGGCAGAAAAAAAATGAAAACGAGGTCTCTCTGGTCTGGGCTGAAGAGAGAAAAGGAAAACGGAGGAGAAAATGAAAACAAGAATAAATCGTTTTTAGATTTTTAGAAAAGGAAAAAAACGTTTTTGTTTTTAATTTTTAGAAAATTTTACACCAAACGTGTTTTCATTTTTTATTCTCAAAAACCGTGAAAAATGAAAATAAAAACATAAACAAACATGCCCATAAGGTTTGCAAAATTCTTAATTCACTTCTTTAGTTTTGTGTTTCTCTCGGAATTTGAACCTTGTTAAGTAAAGATTTAGAATTTTGTATTTCTCTTAACTCACCATTTGGTTTAGTTCTTTTCAATCGAAAGGGTACTAATTATTTACTTGGTTGATTAATACCAAATTAGCCTCAAAATATGCTTAAGTTGTTGTGTCTAATTGATCCATGTATTGTCAAAAATTCAGCCACTTAAAAACTCAGCGAGCACATAGCATTCCCAGGACTTCATCTAGCTCTAGACTTGGACAGTGTATAATAGATTATATATATAGTTGAATCAAGAAAATCACCTACCAAATTAAAATAATGTCAAAAAGAGCCTAAGATTTTTGTGCAAGTACAAAAACGGAAAAACTAGCTAATTCCTGCAAACCATTCCAAAAGTCATATGCATGTTATATAAAGCAATTGAAAACACCATTTAGATTATGAATTTGTCAAAATATTATTATATATATAATTATATCACGATCGAAGCTAGCCCTCTCGGAAGTCTTGTGAGCCTTGCATATCCAAAACCAGGCCCACAACTATTTCTTGAAAAAAGTTCAATGATGTATTATTTATTATTATTATTATTATTATTATTATTTTTAAGAATAAAGATCAATTATGTATTTTTCATAGAGTTGGTGGATGGTTAGTTTCGTTTACGTCCAATCGACTGGCTAACCTCTAGCCCGTTTGGTAAAGAGATTCATTCCTTGATTCGAATAATGATTCGTGGTTCGCTACAGTATTTTTTCTCACAAAAAATACACGTAAATCAAAAATAATTCTAATCACATGGTTCTAATCCATAAACCAAACGGGCATGTATGAGCCCAATTTCTCATGATCTTTTTTACACAAAAACTTAAAATCTACTTCTCACGATCCCTATTTTATCTTTTTTTTTAAAGAATGTTGAGTACGCATATTTCTCTTCTTCTTTTTACCAACTTTAATCACATACACTAATTCATACACGCATGAGTGATAACTCTTGGTATGTGCCACATTGTCTCTCGTGCTCTCAAAATATAGATGATAAATTGATACTGAATAATGACATGCTGTTCAGTTTTCCATGTTCATTATGTACTATTTATTTTGTGTTTGTTGTTAAAAGTTTGGGTGCGGTTTTAATTATTAGTACTCTATTATTTATTAATTAATTGTTATTGTTATTTTAACCCTAAAATATTAATTCGAAAGTTATAATAAATTAGATAGTTAATTAAAACAAATTATTACAACTAATGAAATTAAATTGTTTACATGTCGCGTCATCAAATTTCTATATCTGATGGCAACCATCGATGAAAATGTAACCATTAAAAAATTGTCTATATATATATACACTTATTTCACTGTTTATTTCACTTTTGGGAGGAAAAAAAAACTAATAAGATTTACATTTTCTCAAAATATTCTCCCTTAACACGAGTTGGAGTAGAATATCAAGTTTAATTGAAGTTAAGTGTGAATTTATAATTATACGGTTACTTGAGGCTAGCTCAATTGGTTGGGTGCGTGAGTCTATACGTACATCTACTTAAGTTTTTAAATTCTATTGGTTTCATTTTTTTAGTAATGTAGGAGCTAAAGACTCTGTGTTAAAAAAATGGAAAAAAAGAAAAAACTACTCTTTTTTTTTTTTTTCTCCTCTATCTTCCAAAGAATTAAGTGCAAGACCTGACTTTCACCTTAAAAAAAGAGAGTTTAAATGAAAAAATTGTGCCTTGACATATCAGTTTTCTATCAAACAATTAGCTCCAAGTAGTCTTTGCAATGCTCATATATTCTCCAGGTTATATATCTAGATGTTAAATAAGTATTTATTTATGTATACTGTCTAATAAATAGATAAATGTAGTCTATGTGTCAATCCATATATGTTAGTGAAAACGATGATGGTTTAGTTCATTATTGCTGATTTTTTTTTTATAAAAAAAAAATTATTGGGGTCGTTTCCGTCGTATTCTTTTGGACAAGCATCCTTCAAATTTAAATATATTTCATTGTTTTGTATCTGTCTAACCACTCATTAATAGCTAAACGATAATGGCCTATACGTTAAATTAAATAATTATTAATTTAGTTTTTAATCTATTTGGTTATGGGGAATATTTTCCTGCAGGTCCCCTACTGCTTATTTTACAAATATATTATGATTCTGCAATTCTTCGTTAGAAGATCTATTAAGTCATTATTAATTAAATTTTGACTAACCTTTATGAGTAATAGTATCCAATATTTCACATTTGTAAGAAAGAAGAAAATGCAAAAACAAAAACAAAAGCAAATCCTTAAATATATATATATATATATATATACACACATACATTTATATATATATACACACACGCACACACTAAGGATAACTATGCGGCTCCTTTTTTTCAATAATAATTATTTGTTTTTATTTTATTATCACCATGTACATATATATATATATATATATATCCTAAGATAAATAGGATGCCATTAATCATCTCCCTTAATACATATGAATGTCAAAGTATGATTTAAGAATGTACATATATAAGGTACTAATTAATCCTTTTCGTCAAACCTCTGATTAAGCATTGGTTTAAAATATAAGGAGAACTCAAATCTTCTTGCAACAAATGTCTTATCTTGAAACACATGGACCATTGAAAGGGTGGGTGGGTAAATAAAACAAAGAGATATGTTCACAAGACCTTTTAGCCCAAGCTGATGTTGTCTTTTCGAAGTGATAGAACATCAAAAAAGTATGAAATGCCTGTCTATTGTATCTAGCTATGTCTATATATATATATATATATGTGTGTGTGTGTGTATATTATATATATATATATATATATAGAGAGAGAGAGAGAGAGAGAGAGAGATCATATTGGAGCATAGCATAGTTGTTCACATTACCCGAAGGAAAAGGATTAAGATGAATGAAACGTGTAGGCTTTAGTTTAACAAATAGAATTATACTATGATTAAGCAGGATCAATTATAATCAAGACTAGGGTCAATCATTGATGCCAACAAATAATTATTAAGCAGACCAAATGAAGTTCTTTAGCTTTTTAATCAAGATACAAAAGTGAAGAATAAGATAATGATAAGGGATACAAAGCTTCATGATTTCTTTCAGTTTAATTTTTCCTTTGAAACAATAACAATCCCACGTATCCAAAAGAGAAAATTGACAAAAGCATTTTCTAAGATGTGGAATATTTGTAGTTTGGAAGACGAACTGAAGAGTTGTTTACCAAACTAGGTATTGTTGGGAAGCAAAAAATTTGGGTTAATTTCATAAATAATCTCTAAATTTTACTATCAATTCCACTTTAATTTTTTATTTTGAAAATATCCTAAATTTGATCCTAGACTATTTGTCTGTTTCAGGGTGTTAAAAAGCGGAGCAAAATATGAATAATACTCAATTAGCATAATATTATTTTATATTTTAATGTCCGAGCATATTCCTTGTTCAATTAGTAAAATATTACTATTTTCTTCCAACGTAAAATGCATATTTCATTATTTTTTTCACACACAATTAATGAAAATGATTAAAACTTAAAAGAAAAAGGGATAAATAGAGGATTAAATTTGGGATGTTTAAAAGTTAGAAATTAACGTGGAATTTAGAATAAAGTTTAGGGACCGTTTGTAAGATTAATTATGAAAATTAAGTAACGTTATTATATTTTAATTACTCCAGTCTAGAAAGAGTATGTAAAATAATATATAGGTACATCTCTGTAAAACATATATGTACCTAGGCGTTCAATATTTATGAAGACCATTTTTACTTGATATAAACAAAAGGGAAGAAAATTTCCATGTAACATCCAAAAACGATGAAACAAAATATGAAACCACAATTGCATCGAGATCAGAGTGGATAAAATTTATTGCCAACATAAATCTAGATTTAATTATAACCATATCTTTATTTTTAGTATAAAAATTATAAAATAAATGATAAGAAATTAAAAAAGAAAACAACTCAATTCCTCTAGGATCTTGCTCTCAGATGAGAAGAACGTAAGAGTTTGATAAAAAATAAAATAAAATAAAATAAATGAAGAATGTAAGACTCTGTCCCCCAAATTTAAAAATTCTCACTTTAGTACCTCTTAGACTTTGAATTAGACGTCCCAATTAATCCCCTTTGTTAAACCTTCCGCTAAAAAAGACAGAGGTTAGGTAGGATCATTCGGTTTTTTTTCAATTTTTTTTTTTTTAAACAGAGATTTTTACATATTAACATTTAACTATTTGCGTAATTTTTACAGCTGGGACTAGCTACTGAACATTTGTAAAATTATGTGATAAATAATTAAAAGGGACTATTACATTAGGATAAGGTATAATGAATACCAAGGATTATATAAACGAAGGGGATGACGAATTATTCTCTAACCTGCTACTCGTACGTCTACGCAAAATACTTTTCTGACCATTAATTACTAATCACCTTAGAATATAATAACAAGGTTTAATATTCTAGAAGCTGTTCATTTGATCATATATATCTCCAATACAAGAAAATAAGGAGAAAAAAGTTGCCACCCAAGGTACGTAAATAACAACACAAGTAGTTTGTTTACTTAAGCATGCATGTAAAATTTACTGAAGTAGGTTTGATTAGGACTTAGCTTTTCTTGCAAAGAGTACTGGCAACAGAGGAAGAGTGTAAGAAATAACCATGTAATTAAGCTGCCATAGTGGAGTAATTAATATTAGCACAATTATATATATATATATATATATCATACAATATTAGATTACTATTGGGTGGTCAAAGGAAATTGATACTAAAGGATTAACAAATTAGGGAAGGCAACTTGGAGTAGGGCAACAAAGAGTAGTATTCACATGCAACCAATCACACAATGAAGGCCACAAAAAGACGTTAAGATTTGGCAGCTCAACCCATTAAGCATTAATATTATTACGTAAACATAAATAATTATAATCACTTAATCCTTTAAGTTGAAAGATATATAAGTACATAACCATTTGAAATGTACGTACGAAATATGTATATTTTAATCAAAGAGAATAAGTTGGATGGAATTTGGAAGTTTTGTTGCTTACGTGTGGGATGACAAGGGTTTGAGGGTACTCTATTGACTTTGCAATAATTCAATGTCCTTTTTTTAAAAGGAGGAATTAATAATAGAAAAAAGTTTTAATTAGGGAATTCAACCGCTCGCTTTCTTGAGTAGGGACTAATTTAACTTTGGAGCTAACACACTATTGGCAAAACCACAAAGATTGTCCTTGTCGCTCACCCAACTACTGCATCTTCCCTATGTAACCCCATATCTTCTTTAATAACTTCATCCTCTCTATCACAATATATAAATATATATACATATATATAATCATTTTCTCCTTTTTTTCCTTTTTATTTTTCTCTGAAAACTTCTCTTCATTTCCACGATTATTACTGACAACATACAGTTAAATTGAACTATTTTATCGATTAATCAAGTTTGTGAAAAGAAAAAAAAACATATTAAGAGTCATGATAAAACTTTGACACTTAAAACAATTGATACATAAGTAGACCATATATGTGACGATGGTTTTACCAATAATTGTGTTGCTTATATGAATACGCTTTTTCTCTAAACTAGTGTGCCCTAGCTGTCGACCTTTCTTGTATTCATCTTATAACATCTTTAATTTAATGTTATAATTGATTATGTGGTAACTGTAAATTTAACATTGAGTACAAAAACACTCTATTATATAAACTATTTGTTTTTTTAAATTTATTATATGCTATACTTTGTGATAATTGTCCTACTAAATATAACATATGATAAATTTAACATTTAATTCATATTCGTTAAAATATTTATTTTTTCATATAATCATAATAATTTTTAAATTATTAATTATTTTTAATTAAAAATTTTAACTTTATAACTTTTAAAACTTAATAATTATAAAAAATAAATTTAACATTTTAAATAATATTATACGTATAAATAAAAATAACATAGAATATCATAATTTTAATAATTAATATGCAATTCACATTAACTGTTGTCTTGGAGGCGGGCTTACTTGCTCTAATATTTTCTTCTTGTTTTTCTGACCCCGTTTGACCTTCACATACTACCATATACAAATATATAATAATATAAACACGTCCCGCTATTCAAGACCACTGTTGTCTTTCTCTCCTTCCCTCTTAATAGCACAGTAGAAATATAAAGCACGAGTGGTCATTAATGGCGATTTGCAGCAGTTGACTGACAAATCTTGTGGTCTCATTCAACTCTCTTATCCCCTTCCCCCTCCTCTCTCTCTCTCTAAAGCCTCTCTCTTTCTCTCTCTAAAGCCTCTCTCTCTGGTGAAATAATACCAAGTTTCCAATGCATGCAAATCTGCGTACACTTCAAGAAGCACAGAAGAGCGGTACACGGAGGGGCGTTCTCTCCCCCCACCCCAAGCCCACCCCCCCCCGCCACAACAATTTCTTACACACTACTTTGTCCTAATTAATGCATGCCCAATTCGACACCTTATCATTTCCCTACTATTTCATGCACTTGTTTAAGCAATTTTGATCACTTTTCCATGTCCTTTATATAATTTTTAAGAGAGATTGATCCGGTAGATACTAGACAATATGGGTGAATTACGGAGAACATGTTTTTTGTCACTTGTTTATGTTGTTTTCATGATTCTCTCATCTACATCTACTAGGCTTGTCTTGTGCCAAGACAAACTTACCACTTTGACGACTCTTTTGGAGGTGAAGAAAGCTTTTGTGGAAGACCCTGAAGGTGTTTTGCATACTTGGTCTAAAACCAACAAAAACTTCTGCAATTGGAGAGGAGTTTCATGTGGGCTAAACGACTCTGTCGCTGACTCGGGCCAAGTGGTGGGGCTCAACCTATCCGACTCGTCACTCGCCGGGGCCATATCTCCCTCATTCGGTCGTTTGCAAAGCCTGACTCACCTCGACCTCTCCTCTAACCGTCTCAGTGGGTCCATCCCACTGACTCTCTCCAACTTCTCTCACTTGGAATCTCTGATCCTCTTCACCAACCAACTCACCGGCCCCATTCCGAGTCAACTCGGCCAGCTCACGAGTCTCCGAGTCTTGCGAATCGGTGACAACGGACTCACCGGAACGATTCCCGAGTCGTTCGGCGGCCTCATGAATTTGGAAGTCTTGGGCCTTGCATCCTGTCAACTCACCGGGTCAATACCGAGTGCGCTCGGCCGACTCAGCCAGCTCAGGAACTTGATCGTGCAAGAGAATCAGCTATCGGGACCGATTCCGTCCGAGTTGGGAAACTGCTCCAGCCTCGAAATCTTTACCGCAGCCAACAACGACATCAACGGCACCATACCCCCGGAAATGGGTCGTCTCCAGAATCTCCAAAACCTCAACCTGGTGAACAACAGCCTCTCAGGCGAGCTTCCGAGTCAACTCAGCTCACTGAGTCGACTCGCCTACTTGAACCTTGCCGGGAATCAACTCGTGGGGCCTATCCCAAAGTCGTTATCTCAACTGGGCAATCTTTATAATCTCGATTTATCAAGAAACAAGCTCACGAGAGGGATTCCGGAGGAGTTTGGTGATATGGATCAGTTGCAATTCTTGGTTTTGTCAAAGAACAATCTCTCAGGCGTTATACCAAAGAAAATATGTTCCAACGCCACAAGTTTGGAGCATTTGTTTCTATCGGAGACTCAAATTCATGGAGAGATTCCTGTGGAACTTAGTCAGTGCAAATCTTTGAAACAACTTGATTTGTCCAACAACACTCTCAGTGGATCAATTCCTGTTGAGATTTATAAGTTGGTTGCGTTAACTGACTTGTTGTTGAACAACAACAGTTTGGTGGGTCCCATTGCTCCCTTAATTGGAAACCTCACGAATCTCCAGACGGTCACGATGTACCACAACAATCTGAAGGGGGATCTCCCAAAGGAGATTGGAATGCTTGGGAAGCTTGAGATTCTCTACCTCTATGAGAATCAGTTGCACGGGGAAATACCACTGGAGATTGGAAACTGTTCAAGCTTGCAAATGGTTGACTTTTTTGGGAACCGGTTTAGTGGGCAAATTCCAATCACTATTGGGAGGCTTAAAGAGTTGAAGTTGCTTCACTTGAGGCAGAATGAGCTTGTGGGTTCAATTCCCGCCACTTTGGGTAACTGTCATAAACTGAATATCTTGGACTTGGCTGATAATAATCTCTCTGGTGGGATTCCTTTGACGATTGGTTTCATCAAATCTCTTGAGCAGTTATTGCTTTACAACAATTCTCTCGAAGGTACTCTTCCTGATTCACTGTCTCATTTGACTAACTTGACAAGAGTGAATTTGTCTGGAAATAGATTGAATGGTAGTGTTGCTGTGTTGTGTGGCTCGAATTCGCTTCTTTCATTTGATGTAACTGACAATGATTTTGGCCATGAGATTCCAAGCGCATTGGGTAATTCTCATTCCCTTGAGAGGTTGAGATTAGGGGGAAACCATTTCACTGAAAATATCCCTACGACATTACGAGAACTCCGTGAGCTTTCGATGTTGGACCTCTCCGGTAATTTGCTGACTGGATCAGTTCCAGATGAGCTTTCTTTTTGCAAGAAACTTAGCCATGTTGTTTTGAACAATAACCTTCTCTCGGGCGCAATACCGCCCTGGCTTGGAAGCTTCAGCCAGCTGGGAGAGTTGAGGCTCTCCACGAATCGGTTCTCAGGGCCAATTCCTCGAGAGATCTTCAATTGTTCAAAGCTGCTTGTCCTTTCTCTCAATGACAATTCGCTGAATGGAACTCTCCCTGATGAAATTTGTAAGCTGGCGCCGTCGCTTAATGTACTCAACCTCGAACGTAACCAACTGTCGGGGCCAATTCCTCCTGCCATTGGCAAGCTAGAAAAGCTGTATGAGCTTCGCCTCTCGCGGAACAACTTTGATGGCGAGATACCTGAGGAGCTCGGACAGCTTCGGAATCTACAGAGCATTCTGGACCTCAGCCACAACAATCTGAGTGGCCAAATCCCGCTGGCTATTGGAGAACTGTCGAAGCTCGAAGAGCTTGATCTTTCTGACAATCAACTTGTTGGAGAAGTCCCCCCACAAGTTGGTGAGATGAGCAGCCTTGTAAAGCTTAATCTCTCTTACAACACTCTGGAAGGGAAATTAGGCAAGCAGTTTTCGCACTGGCCAGCCAAAGCGTTCCAAGGAAATCTGCAGCTTTGTGGAAACCCTCTTGGTGAATGCAATGCCGACGCATCTGGAAAACAGAAGTCGGGCCTAAGCCAAATATCAGTGGTGATCATTTCTGCAGTATGTACATTAGCTGCAATTGCTCTGTTGTTAATCGTGGCTGCAACTTTCTTGAAGCACAGGCGAGAGTCTTTCGGAAGAACAAGTGATGTGAGCTACATTTACTCGTCCAGCTCGACTGCCACTCAACGAAGGCTACTTCTCTTTCAAAATGGCTCCACGAGGCAAGAATTCAGATGGGAAGACATCATGGAAGCGACCAACAATCTAAGCAACAAGTTCATTATTGGCACCGGAGGGTCAGGCGTAATTTTCAAAGCGGAATTGCCCAACGGAGAAACTGTAGCGGTCAAAAAGATTTCGTCGAAAGACAGCCTCCTAGCAAACAAAAGTTTCGTGAGGGAGGTCAAGACGCTTGGGAGGATAAGGCACAGACATCTGGTGAAGCTGATGGGGTATTGCAGTAACAAAGGAGCCTCTGGTGCGAATCTGCTGATATACGAGTACATGGAGAACGGAAGCGTTTGGGATTGGCTGCACAAACAACCAGTTAACGGCAAGAGGAAGAGAACCCTTGATTGGGAAGAGAGGTTGCGAATCGCAGTGGGATTAGCTCAAGGAGTGGAATATCTCCACCATGATTGCATGCCAAAGATCATTCACCGGGACATCAAATCCAGCAATGTGTTGCTAGATTCCAACATGGAGGCACATTTGGGGGATTTCGGGCTGGCAAAGCCACTCCTTGAGCATGAGTCACACACAGATTCAAGCACATGGTTTGCCGGCTCATTTGGCTATGTTGCTCCAGGTACTAAAAAAGGTCTCTAGTATTTTTTTTTTCCATGATATTGCATAATATTTTTATGTGATTCTTAACATTAGACATTGTATTTTTCAGAGTACGCTTATTCGTTGAAGCCAACAGAGAAGAGTGATGTTTACAGCATGGGGATTGTGTTAATGGAGTTTGTGAGTGGGAAAATGCCAACTGATGCAGCATTTGGAGTGGATATGGACATGGTGAGATGGATTGAGAGCCACATGGAAATGGAAGGCTCAAGAAAAGAGGAGCTGATAGACCCGGCACTGAAGCCAATGTTGCCAGCAGAGGAATTTGCAGCATTCCAAGTGCTTGAGATAGCAATGGAGTGCACCAAAACAAGCCCACAAGAAAGGCCATCTTCTAGACAAGTTTGTGATCAGCTTATACATGTACTTAATCATAGGATGGTGGATTTTGACAAGTTGAAGTCAGATAGCTGCTATGCTTAAATTGGCTCAAAATCTGTCCCAAGGAAAGGAGATTGAAGGCACAAGATCTTGCATGAGCACTTTCATTTCTTCTGTTTCAAAGGGTCTGCTGCTACCAATGCGAGGAGGACTTTTTTTCTTTTTTTTTTCTCTTTAGGGCAAAAAATTTGTGAAAATTAGTAAATCAGGTTTTTTTTTTTTTTTTTTGATTTGATTTATGAAATCTAATTCAAGCATCATCACCATTAGAAGTGTATGAGCATAATATATATTGCATCTACAAGTTTATGAAACTTTTTTTTAAGTATTAATTTCCATTTTTTCTGCTATATTATCACATCTAACAAGTGTTATGAAACCTTTTAAGTATTAACTTCCCATTTATATAGCACCAATACATGGGATATTGCTCTATCAAAAGAGGTAGGAAAAACTTTCGTTATTGACGTGACAAAAGAAAATAATTAGAAAAATACAAGATAAATTAGCAGGTTATGCCAGAAGTTTTGAGTCATCATTTTGTCCTCAAGTATTGGAATCATCATTACAATATCAATTCCTAATCATTTAAAACAAATAAGTTTTCATTATAATTTTTTCCCTTTTTACATTACCAGCTCCCTTGTGGCCTTTTTGGGACAAATCTCACAAGGAAGGCAGAGATTACTAACCACTTCTGAAACATGAAAAAGATGGATTGGGTTCACCCGAAGCAACCTCCCTTTCTTCTAACTGGAAAAGAGTCGGTAACCAATTCTTCAAAGTAGGCACTTTTCAAAAACCACTACACGCAGAACATAAATCCACTTTTCTGTCAGAAGTGATCTTGATATGCTTTATCTACTCACATTATTCAAATCTGCGCCATCATTTAAAAATAATTCATCCACAGGGGTTCAGTTCAGAAATCTCAATGGTCTTTTATTTTCAAAATCAGCCATTACAAAAGAATATGAGGAATAGAAACCAACTATTTCCGCTTTCAAATGTACCATTAGTTAGGATTTCGGGGTAATTAAACCCATAACCAAGGCTTTGTTGTTAATAATGAATGCATGGAAGATTATTATATCTTGTAGTCATTTCAAAATACTTCAATGAGTTATGGTGGCAAACTTAATCTAACGATAATTTCATATCAACTTGTATTGCTAAGATTTAGAGTTGAAATTCTCCGTTTCAAAGGTTTTTTGACCTATGAGCAAACTTTCGGCTTAGTTCTGAGTATAAAGTGGCACCTCACATTTAAGTTGACATAAAAAGCTGAGGAAATCCAGCACTAGATCTTGCTTACAAAATCCATGACTGTCCCAAATCACCATCAAATGTTTTTGCGGCTACAAGAGAAATTTGATCCATTTCATTTATTAGGTGCATGTACTAGGAACTACATTCACCAGTTCAAGTTATCGAACTCACATGTGTAGCAACTAGCAAACAAAAATGAAAATACTTGTAGTCTTTTACAAACAGGTGAACATTATCACAAGGGCAAACAAGTGCAGACAATTTCAAGATTCAGCATTCTCTCAGAACACGAATGCCTTGTTCGAACGTCAAAATCCATTGGGTCACAAGCTAATCATCATCTTCATCTGCATTTTTTCATCATTAAACAAAGTGAGTACACTGTACAGGTCAAAAGAGCAAGGATGATATAGCAGAGTGTCGGAGTTACGGATCCTCTATGTAAGCCTAACTTAAGAAGAAAATAAAAGACAATAAAGAACTCTAAATGTTAACTTGGATTCTAGAAGTTTTCAACACATAATCTTCTCATAAAAAAGTTAAAACTTTATATACAACCATGACTTCCACTTCCTATGCACTTATTAGTAAAAATCATGCCAATTACTTGGCCCATAATCATCTCAAGAGACAAAACCAAAATAAATTTTAAATGGAAAAAAAAAAAGAAAGAAAACGTTAGTAAGCACACGCACAGAGCATTTGGGATTGAACTCTCACTGCCACAGAGCATGAGTCTAGTATGTCAAACAAACGTTAGTATGGACACACAGAAACACAAACTTATGAATATGTTTACTTAGTAACATCAAATTATTAAAGAGCAAAAGTTTGGCATTGGCATGCAAATAGAAAAATTATGAACACGGAAGACAAGAATTATCCAATGTAAAGCTTAGCCATTAATTATAGTAGCCCCAATGGCAGAGGAAGAGGATAAGCAAAAAGAAGCGGGCGGGGGGAGCAAAAGTTAAGCGGAAAATATTTTACGCTTTATAGATTCTCATGTTAATCTCAAGTTTTATAGATGTCCAAGTGACTAGATACCAATCCTATTGAACTATTTAATTTGTGTTGAATGTCTTCTTGGTACCTTTCGGTCTAGGTTCAATAACATTGGAACATTTTAGGCTTGTTCTTTTAGAGTTTAACTTGAGTATAATTCTTGAATTGAATTTGAGTTATAATTTGAGTTAAACTTGTAACTTGAATTTGTGTTTGGTTGTGTACATTTGAGTTATGGTTTGAGATAATAATCATTTTTAATTTGTGTTTGAGTGAGTCAAAACTTGAATTTGTATTTAGATAGTATTTTAATAAAAACTCAATGCTGATGAAAAATTTTAATAAGGTATATGAGTCGGGTTTTATTCGTCTTTTCGTTGTCAACGCATAGAAAAAAAAATCATCTCAATTAGAATTAAAACGAAAAAGTTATAGTATTTTTAAGAATAGAAAAAATATTGTTCATTAATTTGAGTTCGGGTTTCTGAACTCGAGTTGAAGGAGAAACTTGAACTCGAGTTTTAGTCCTAAACTCGAGTTTAAACTTAAAAGAACATGAACTCGAATAGAGTTATAACTCGAGTTGCCTTTTTTTGAATTTTTCACTCAAAAGAACAAGCCCTTTGTTTGTGGTAAAATTAGAACTACTCGTTTTGACACTAATAAAAATGATAAGCAAAAAGCATTAAGGGTATTAAACTAATAAAAGTAAAGTGCATAAAAATAAAGGACTAGAATGAATAACTGGAAAATAATAATGCCTGAAATGGCTTTTATTCTTTCAATTCTTAACACCTCCTTACTTTGAATCCTCCTCTTCGTTCCCCAGAATCTTTTACGCCTGACAAGGAAGGAAATCTTCCTCCTCTTCCCAATACTATGTACAGCCTATTCAACAAAATCTTCCCCCCACCCCACCCCAAACACTCACTCTCATATCTTCGTGAATTCTCCCCCTTATTTCTTAGTCATTCTACTATGAGTCATTGAACTGTTGCTGAACTTATGCTTAAAACCATGTCTCACATCAGATTTACAGATGAAATCCAACGTCTCACTCAATCAGAATGTTGCATCAATCGAGCATGACAAAAAGAACTTGCCATTAAATTTACTCTCTTCCAACCTAATAATTCCCCCACCTGTTTCAAAACTTAAATTCTTGGTCAAACTGATTGAATTTAGGCGAAATCATTTTTCCTACCGACTACTGAAATGAAGTTTGGGATTCTAGGAAAAACGCTTCAATTGTGTTTGTCATTTTTAACTTAGGGAAAGTTTAAAATACTAAAACGTGAGCAATAGGCTCTAGTAGGATAAATCTTTAAACACCGACTTCTTAATAAAAATTTATGTCAAATTCTTGGCTCATAAGTAAAGAGACTATTCCGCGAGAAAATTAATATGGAAAAAAAGAAAGAAAGAAAGAAAGAAAGACAAAGAAATTCATGCAGTTCAGGTAAAACTCTCACTGCCAGAGAGCATATGTCCAGTATATCAAGTACAATTACACATGGATATACATTAAAATACAAGCGCGCGCGTGCACACACACACACATTTATGAATATGTTTCCTCAGTAACTAGGAAAATTCTGAACAAGGAAGACATGAATCATCCAATGTAAAGCTTAGTCATTAAGGCATCTCCTTGATATACTTTTCAATGGAAACTGAAAAATATTCTAGTTGCCACAATGGCAGAGGTAAGCCAAAAAAAATGACAAAAGTCGAGGAGAAATATTTTACGCTTTATATATTCTCATGTTAATCTCAAGTTTTATAGATCTTCTAGTGACTCTAGTAAAACAATACCATTGTAATATATAATTTGTGCTAAATATCTTCTCTGTTTTTTTTTTTTTTTTTGGCTCATTCATGCTAAGAGTGAATGTTGGGCCATTAAGAGACAACATATATGTAAGATGAGTATGGCAGAAATGCGTATGTTAGGATGAATGAGTGGCCATATGAGAATGGATCGCATAAGGAATGAAGTTATTCGTAGTAAAGTAAGTGTAGCACCAATAGAAGATAAGGTGAACGAAGGCCACTTGAGGTGGCACAGGCATGTCCAACGTAGACCGCTAAAAGCACCAATTCAGGCTTGGGAGGACATTCTTATACCTAATACTAGGAGAGGGAGGGGTAGACCAAGAATTACGTAGACCGAAGTAGTTAGGAATGACATTCTAGATCTAGGCCTTCAAGAAAGTCTAATTTCGAACAGAACTGCGTGGAAAAGTGAAATCCATATAGCCGACCCCAATTAAGTTGGGATTAAGACTTATTGTTGTTGTTGTTGTTGTTATACGTACTAAATTTTTGTCTTGGTAGCTTTAGGCTTAGGTTTAATACATTGTAACATTTAATTTGTGCTAAATGTCTTCTTTCTAACCTTAGGTCCAGATAACACACATACACATGCACCACGTTTACTCATTAAGAACAGTGCTTTAGACTACTTCAAAGTTCAAAATATTTAACAAAAACAACAAAGAAGCAAAACTAAACTTTCTTTACTATAGGAAAGACCAAACACTTGAAGCTAGAAATAGACAAAACACAATTAATGAACTAATAACAAAATCGCAGCACAAAAACCTAACAAAGAAATATGCAGCGAGTAGTCTTACTTAGAAAGTTTAACAATTTACAAGTCTACACTAATACTATTCCACAAAAGAATGAATAGTTAAAAGAGTTGGTCATAGAGCCACTCTTTTTCCAGAACTACTAGGTACTAGGATGAATTATAAGAATCCTTTATTGAATTCTAAGAAGCCTTAAATTCTGCAGCCAATATTATTATCGCACCCGTGGTAGATGATCAAATTAAGTCAGCTTTCATTTCCCTTCGTCCCTTTCCTCCACTAGCTTCAACGAACTCAATCTTGCCGCATTATGTGATCTAAGTAGCAAAACACAACCTAAAAGATAGTTTCACATATAGATTCGAATCATATCCTATCCAGTATCTATATGTCCCATCCCCTGAAATTCAAGGCTTAATACAGGAATTGTCGTAGGGACTCCCCTGGCTTTTTTAACCCACCCCATATCCTAACCAAAAAAAAAAAAAAGCTTTTCTTTTCTTCAAAGGAGGCTTCTATAACTGTTTGTGTAGCTTACTCCGGCCTAAAGATGTGAGTGTTTCTCTAAAAGACTGGAATATGATGTTTGTGCCCAAATTTAATCTATTAAATCTTATCTCCTAAGTCCTAAGCATTCCCATTCTGAAATTCGAATTAGGAATATGTTAGGTCATCAACAATTTTATCAAATTTTTTTTTTTTCAATTTTCAGAGTGTATGCTCATGCATTTCAATCAAATCCCAAACATTACCATCCGTATCCCCAAAATTGAAAGGAAAAAAAAAAAAGAAATCGGCATTCAAATATATTACATGAATGAATAAATAGAAATCGAAAGACAAAAGGAAGAGAGATTACCAAAATAACGGCGTTCATTAGCAGCCTTGGCTTTCTCGAGCATCTTGTCGAGATCTTCCTGAAGCTGAGCGTCCCATTTCACCAACTGATTCACGAACACCGCTCCCAATCCCATTCCCACAACATGCTCCCAAGGATCTGCCCTCACAATTCCAACAAAAATCAAAATCGGTCACTCGTTATTCATGAATTTTACCACCAAGGAAAGAAGGAAACAAAAAACTTTCTTTTTTCTCGGGAAACAAACGGAAAAGGGGAATTAGGGTTAAATTGGGAAATGGAAGAGAGGGAAAAGGAGAAGGCATACGGCGCATGTAAGGGAGTTTGCGAAGGGCATTGGAGTACATCTGAGTGCCCAATCCCAGAAGTGCTCCGATCATCGTCGAACTCAACGGCATTGTTGCTCTCTCTCTCTCTCTTTCCACTCTTTCTCTCTCTAAACTCTGGCCGGCCTGAATTTCACTCTACTCTCAACTCTCAATAGCCCTCAAATCCCCTCAAGAGAAAGCACTAAAAGCTCGTTTTAAATTTTGGTTTTTAAGAAATGCTAACAAAATAACAAACAAAAAAAATTGTCCCCAGTAAAAAACAAATATTTTTTTTATTATTATTTTGCTATATAGAACTATAAAATATTTTAGAATACTTGATTTTTTTCCCCAGTAAATATTACAACATCACGTTATTTTAATAGCTATAGTAGTTACTCTTAAGTTTTTTTCTTTTTTTTTTTTTTTTGCTAAAAGAATAGTTATCGAAAGTTATTAACGTGAATTTTATGATTACTTTAGTGATCACAATAATAGCTTGTGATGATACTATTGTGGCAGTAACGCTAAAAAATTATTAGTTCAGAAACAATTATTATTAATGTAATCTAAATTTTTTTTTTTTTATACAACACCAAATTAAACCTGCAACCTTCAAACCCCATCCCACCCGAACTCTCCAGTATTATTAAACCAAGCCATCTCAAGGGAAAAAAAAAAAAAAAACAGAAATTATTGATTAATTTAATATCAAATATTTTTGTGATAAAAATTTAAAATAATTTAAAACATATTTTGTAGTTTGTGAATTCTCTAAAAACAAAAAACTACTTCTGTGTATAGCTTTTTAAATCTGTTTTCTTTATTTTATAAAGATTGCAGGTTGCAGGTTTAGCCCTAGCATGAATTCTACACCCACCTCAAAGTTAAGGTCTTAGTGGGTTGAAGTTCTTAATAACATGTTTCTTTTTTATCTTTGCATCGAGGTAGGTGTTTTTGCTCCGTTGCTCATAGGGCTCTTCTGTGTCCTGTTTCTTTGTATTTCTGCTTATTAAAAATAAATAAAAATAAAAGTTAAGCTCTTGAGTTTGAATAGTCCTACCCTCAAGTTAAAATGAAAGTTAAAAGAAAAGGGTAAGCCTATAGTAGGGTGAGTCAAAAACTCTTACCAACTAGATATGTTAATTAAGATCGTTTGATCAACATAATAATCATAAAAAATAAAAAATAAAAACCAAATTAAAAAAAGATCACTCACATACAACCGCCAGATTTACAACAATCATTTGAAAAATAAAAATAAAAAAAAATAAAACCTAGATCTACCATAACATAAACTGAGTATTGTCGTGTGTCATCAGCTACAGCCACAACCACCTCCATGCTCCATCGAAGACCTTTGCAGCACTCAATACTGCCACACTTAGAGCCCCTTGGTTACCCGTCGCTCCTCGCCATTGATCCCCCTAGCTCGTCGATCTCACACGACTCGGGCAGAGTTGACCCACGCCAAGTATAGTTTTTGATACGCAATCAATCGACACCAGTGGATGATGGAGGTAAGGCGAATTGGCGAGTTGCTAGTCAAAGTTTGTCGCGAATTTGTGGGGGCAAGTGGCAGCGCTTGGAGTCGAGTTTCGCCGCAGGAGTGTCAGAATTATGAAGATCCGCGACTAGCAAGTACAATGGTCGTGGTAGTATCGCTGATGACATCGGCGCATAGTGAAGGGTGGCGGCACGTGTACCGTGGTGAGATTGCGTGTAATATATGGTTGTTTTGTAATTATTTTTGTTAGACTTGAGTTAGAATTCAGTGTAAGAGAGACCTAAGAGCACCTTCGAGATTAATGTCGAAGATTTGCACTCTCTCAATAGGAAAAAGTAAGACTCCCTACCATAAACATTCTCATAGAGGCAAATTGGATTACACAAAGAAATATATCGAGGCTATTGGAAGCAAATGACTTTTAGTGAAGAAAATTAAGAAAAAAGTGGAAGAACATGAAAAAAAAAAAAAAAAAAACTTTTAGTGGGGAACAACTAGAAAAAAGAAAAAAAGGGGGAAAATTGGAAATAAAAGTTAGAAACTAAAAAAGATTCAATGAGAGCACGGATTTGTTTGTGTCGGTTCCTGCCTACCTGGATAAAATTTTCGAGCCAAAACTATTCTGAATCTCATCCATCATGGTGCTTACATTATTTGAATGGTTTTCAATTTAAATTGGAAAATATTATTTTTCTTTTCCCTCCTCTTTTTAGGCTGAGAGAATTTATCACAATTAACAACATAGGATACGAATTTCAAACTAATCTGGGCCGTAGGGCAAATGCCAGACTAGATGAAATTACTCACGTGCGACAACCATTCCAATTATTTGCTTTTTATTTTTTATTTTTTGAAAAAAGCCTGATGCATTTGCACTCGTTAAAGTGTTTTTATTTTTATTTTTATTTTATTTTTTGTGTGTTTTTTCAAAGGCTGATCATAAAACAGAGGTACAGAAAACGAACAGAAAGCCGGAAAGGAAAAGATGGAGGATTTTGGTCAATGCCATTTCGTATAACAAGAATCAAAGAAGAAGAGTAGTGTTTTGTCAAAAATGTTTCTGAGCGTTAGGACAGAGGTACTACGATTTATATTAGGGCATCCCATATGCAAATTGCAGCTAGCTATGTTGTTGTTGTTGTTGTTGTTGTTATTATTATCACCTTGTACTCTGTTATGATTTTGTATATTTTATTTTAAATAAATTATGAAATTTCATTGATGTCTTTTGAGCTTTAAGGTCATTCTCAGTTTATCTTTTGAACTTTAAAAATTCTCATTTTACTTCATAAACTTTGAATTATGTCCATTTAATACCTTCTGTTACAATTAACTGTTAAAAATATATAGAAAAAAGATAACAATGCAATCACGTGGTCGTTCTATTTGGATTTCTGTTAAAATAAACAGTTAAAAATCATATGACTACACTTAACGCCTTCTTTTTCCGTATGATTTTAACATAAATTTCAACAAAAAAGATTATGTGAGAACAATTCAAAATTCAAGAGGTAAAGTGAGAATTTTTAAAGTTTAAAGGATAAATTGAGAATAATCCTAAAATTCAGAAGCACTAATGAAAATAATCATTTTATTTATTTGAAATAGTTACTAACCAGTTTTAGGAGTCATGAGAGTGATCCCATATTTTTATGCATTATCCTTATATTGAACATGCTGTGTTATTAGTAAAATAATTACTTAATTTTTGGGTTGAAATGATCTATCTTTTTAATTCATCGAATAAAGTTTGAAAAGAGTGGCATGTTTGTATTGTTAGGAGGTTGTGAGTTCTCTCAAATAAACCTATCAATTGAGCTCAAAATTCTTCCCAATCAACTTATATCTATTCTTTACTTTCATTAGTTACGGCTTTGCAACATCCTCAAAATAGATACGGGGGATAATCCATGTTTATAATATTACTCATATATCTTTCACTTAATTTTAAGATGTATACAGTGACTAGTAATCTTCATCTACTTCACTCAATTATTCTATCTCACAATTAATCCACCTATTTGTGGAGGTATAATCTTTATTAGTTGGCTTAATTAGAACATGCATGACTTTGCCGTCTTCTTATTTTCTTTCTTTTTCAGAAGATTTTTGCGTAAAATAACTTTAATAGTGTGTTTGATAGAAACACTTTTAATCAGAAAAGGAGGACCCCATATTTCAAAATAAATAGTAATGACCAAACTGTTTTTCCTTATTAGAGCCATTAAAGCATTTAATTATTCCAGTAACGCACAAAAAGTAGATCGCTCAATTATTTTTGTGCAGCATATTGTAAGAAATGACGCCACTTTTTTTTTTTTTTTTTCTCCATACTATAACGTTCTTGTAAATTCTTCATATAAATGCATTGAATTTGAATGTCCTCTTAAAGGCTTAATTATCATCATATTAGGAGTTACATATATATAAATATATTTTATATGCTCTAATCAAATGTCGTACGTTTTAATGGTTAATTAAGTTGGTAATACCTACCATTGAAACAAAGTGCTTCCTGTATCAAAATAAATAAAAACAAAGTGCTTCCAAAATCTTTAAGGCTGCATGTTTAGCCTAACCGTAGTATTTATGTGCACACATCTAATATTAAGATCTAGAATACAAATCACTCTTCCACTCAAGCTAAATAAATTAATTATCAAAAAATTTAAATATAGAAATTTTTAAGAATATAAGAACAGTTTCTCCTGTACGCAAATTCACGCCAAAATAATCCTCTAAAATTTAACTCTCTAGAGAAAACAAAATGCTATAAAGGATTTCTTAATGTTATGATGGATAGAAAAGAAAAAGGAAGGAGAAATAAAATATCTAGGTAAGAAAAGTAAAATAGTTTTTTTCTCATGTTATTTAGTAGAAGAGAAAGAAAAGTAAAAAGAAAATATTAAATATAAGATATTTTATAATAATATCCTAATACAAATAAAAATATGATAAATGATGAACGTTAAAATTATTATTTTACACCTCATTTGTTTGTTAAACTTTTTCTCTCATCTTTTCTTCCTAAAGTTATAAGGATTAAAAATTAGTGGGCCCCATAAATTTTTATTTTCCTTTATTTATCATTTTCTCTCTACTAGACAATCTAAAATTCTATTTTATTTTCTAAAAAGAAAATATATGTGGTTGCATGCATAACTTGATAGTAATTTTACATCCGACTCCACCATAAAAACCGTAAAATAAAAGATTCAAATCTCCCACTTCAAGTTAAAAAAAAAAAAAAATTTATGCTCGCGTCGTATGCCAAATGATTTGAAGGATAGGCGAATTAGGTCCAATGTGAAAGTGAATTTTTTTATTTTTTGACTCGGTCAAACCCCATTCATTTTTTCAATATATACCTTGGAAGTTCTATCACGAGACACCAGTCATAATGAATGATTTGGGTTAGGTCAATTATTCACCCAAACTCTTGTTTATTGGTATCATGGATAATATCCTAAAAGTTCAAGTTTCTTTTTTATCGAACCAGTCACACGGTCAAAGCCATGACCCATTTACCTTCCATAAAGAAAACACAAGAAATAATCAAAAGCATGCAAATAACCTATTTGAGGTTAAGCCTTAACCCCCTCTTGTTAAGCCATCAGTTTCTCTTTATGATGTTTTAATGGTTAAATCTCTTTGATAATTAAGTTAATCAAATAATTTATTTTATTCATGCGGCAATTCTTTTATACAATATTGTTTATGTACAAATGCCAAATATATATATATATATATATATATATATGCTACATAGATCGCATTGTCACGATGATGTACCACTTTCGTAGATTTCTGTATCATTTTTTTTCCCTAAAAGAAAGATTGAAGGCTTAACGTGAATATATTTCCCGTAACATTAATAAAGCCTACGTTATGCGAATACTCAAAAAATACAAGGGATCACTAAACCTAATAGTTAAAGTTAAGTAGAAGCCAATTTACGTGTATAATAATAGTGAAAGTTGAAAACTGAATCCAAAGAAAAGGAAAAACGAAGCCGTTAGATACTCTACAATAATGCTGCAATTTAAGCATAGTGTCAACTGCGATGTCATGGCCCAAAAAAATATATCTATATATATATGTATAATAATGAAAATAATAATAATAATATAATAAAGAGCCTTAATCACTACTAATTCTGGGGGTTAACTGATTAGATTTGGATGGCTATATCTTCGTGTTGAATTCCCTACTTGGCATGTAAGTAATGTGTGTGTGTGTGTTCTTTTTTGTTTTTTTTTGTTTTTTGGCACATGGTGAAAATGAAATACAAAAATAATATAATATATTTAAAAATATATTTTTTTCTAGTATAAAAAAAAAGATAGATTATAGAAGAGAACCTAACGCTGGAATGTGAATATGGTAAGGCAATTCATCAGTCTTTAGTAAGTAGAAGTCAAAGAATAAAGAAAAAGAAGATTGAGAGTCTGGCACATATTATAACAAAATTAAAATTAAAAATTTGAATTCGTAAAATAAACAAGACCATAGTAATAAATACATTCCATGGCAGGTTCATGTTTCCCATCTTTTATTTTTTATAGATTAAAACATATAAAAGAATTATTTAATAGGGCCAAAAAAGGAATACTCACCAATACTGTCATTTGTAAATGGCTAGATTTTCATCAAATTACATTATAATTTAAATACTAGCATGATCCAACGATTCATACTTTACTAATAAAGTTTTCTTTTACACCCCACAACAGGTATTTATTTTATTTTATGACCGAAGCTGTGAAACTGCGCTAACCAAAGATTTCATTCCATGACCCCACATTCCCAACGGCTAAAAAACCAACGTCTCTAATCTCTCCCCTTTTTCCTCACCAAACTTCCTCTCACTGTTTTATTAGCACTAATCTCTCTCCCTCTGTTTTTGTCCTCTAAAAAAAGACACATTTTTCCTTCCATTCGGTATTAGCTCCAAAACAGTCCTCTTCTCCTCCCTCCTTCAACCAAAACACATTTTTTTTTCCGCCTTGGTTTTCAGTTACTCGAGGATTCTAAAAATAGGCAAAGGCAAAACGGGAATTAATTGTTCTTGTGGCGGACGCAGAATAAGGCCTAAAAACAGCTTCTCTTTTTTGTTGGGGGATTTTTTTTTCCAATTGTGGAAAAAACCAAAACAGATCGTTTTGTGATCATAGAGGGAAAAAACCAAAATTTGTAAGGTTGGTTTGTTCCTATGAATCTTCCTCACCCAATCCTCTCCAAAAATGCTATTATTTCCTTTTGTATTGTTATCAAAATGATCAAGGAGGAGAGGTGTTGAAAGTGGATAAAGAAATGGCATCATCTCAAGTCGAAATCGCTCCGTCTTCGCCGTTCGGCTGTGTCTTACGGGATCGAAATAGGAGAGACGGGTGCCACAGAGAGAGCGGCTGCAATTGGAGAAAATTCCTGGTCAAAGATCACAATCTCCACACCACCTGCATTTCAATCCCTCCAGACTCCTCTGCCTCCAATGAGAACGAAAATTCATGTTGGCTTCCGAACCACCAGCGTTTCTGCGCCGACAATCACGGAAAATCTACCAACTCTAATTTCAAAGAGAAGAACAGTTTTCCTTCAAGAAAATCCAAAGAAATGCCAACAACAAAAACAGAGACTCTGCCTCCACCTCTGCCTCGGTTGGATAGCCTTGGCCCCGAAAGCCCGAATATCGGGGCGGCTTCTCTGGTACGGATATGGGAGAAGAGGCTAAACCGATCCAAGAATGGAAACAATTCCAATTCAGCAGTTTCAGCCGACTGGGGATTGAGTGGCAATGAGAATAATTCTTCTTCTTCTTCTCCTTCTTCTTCCCCAAGAGAGTCAGAGCCAGAAGCAGAGGACTCTGTTTGCGAAGAGAGATTTGATTCATCGGGGGATTGGCATTCCGATAGAACTGCACCAAGCGAGATGCCTTCTCCATGCCGGAGCCAGAATTCGGATGCAGGTGAAAACGAGAGAGTCAGAGTGGCTGATATAATCAAGAGATTGACGGCTGCAAATCAGGGGCAGAGTACTCTGTCCTGTTCTAGTTCCGGCGGCAATGACAACGGGCGCGAACAGTCTAATTCTCCGCGTGATTGTTTGTCCCCCGTCTCCGATCACACGGAGCAGAGGATTTTCTCGCCGCGGATCAGAGGTCGGCGGGCGTTTGCCGATTTGCTTATGCAAATGGAGAGGGAGCGGCAGGGAGAGCTCAACGCGCTGGTTGAGCGCAAAGCAGTTTCGAGGTTCCCTCAAAAAGGCCGAATCCAGGTTTAAATCATAAAATTACCATTAGAGTCTGCAACTTTTTTTTTTGTTTTCTTTTTGGGGTTTTTTTTTTTTTTTTTTTTTTTGGTTTTTTTGGTTTTTTGTTTTTTTGCAAAAAGAACTTCTGTAGCTACTAGAGCACCCCATTTACTTGAAAAAAAAAAAGAAAAATTTAAATTCCTCTTCCTGGGTTGGCCAGTTTCACAAATTTGATGGTTTTTTTTGTTTTGTTTTCTTTTGCAGTCAATGCTTAGGCTTAGATTGCTGCAACGTGGCACTGCGGTTCAAGACCGGCAGCAGCAGCGGTTCGCGGCGGCGTCACAAGTGGAGAGGCTGCCACTAGGGTCTTCCATTACGCATCTCAGGTAATTAAAAGCAAAAAAAAAAAAAAAAAAAAAAAATTCTTTCACATGGAACAGTGTTGTTCCAAAATAAAGATTAACTGCTTTCGCATGGTTTCGGGGATATTATGGTAGAAAAGGGTATTACATTTTTTGGTATCATTTTCTTTGCATTTTTGCTTCTTACTATATTTCAAGGTTGATGTTTTCTGAAGTTGTTACTGAGATGATTTTTTTGTTTTTTGTTTTTTAAACTCAATGATGGCAACTTGGTTGTAATTTCACAGTCAGTTAATTGTTGAGTTAGGATGTTTTACAATAAAAATGACTGTAAATAAGTCGGTGAATATCCTGGCAGATTTTATTATTATTTTTGTAATAAGGAAAATGCCATTGAAGATAACTAATCACTGATCAATGTATCAAAGAGTATGGAGAGTATTTAATATTAGTAAATGATCAGCTAACCCATTTCCACTAAATATCTTTGTTCAACTACCATTCTCTAGTTTTAATCCATGTCAGGCAAGAGGCTATATGAGATATAGGGGGTGCCTACTAAATTAACTGATATCACAAAAAGAAAATGAATGAATTATTAGTTAAGTTGAAACCTTAAAGCTTCCTTGAGCATTTTCTTACAGGAAACATTACATATTAGGATCAACTACATTATAAATGTAATATGTCTTTGGCTGTAAATGTTCTCCTAGTAATAAAGTTTTGAAGTTGTTGTCCTGTACATATTTAGAAATTAGATGACATGGTTTTTGGAAGTAAACAAAGCATAATTTCGTATGTGTGTGACTCTATACATGTGCATATATATATATATATATATATATATGAACGTTACTCAATGACTAGTTATTTTAAGAATGCTTATTTTGGTTTCAAAACTATCATAAGTATTCGTTTAAGTATTATTATCATTAATATAATTTTCACGTGATTGTCCTCTTTTGTCATTTCATGCAGCGACTGTCTTGGATATTTAGAAAGTTAAGTGGGGTGTTTCAAAATAATGCTAATATAAAACACAAATCTAATCCTTTTTCACACTTTTAGACGTAATCTCTGGTAGATTTTTGGTAGCGTAACAAAATTTTGATGGTGTAATTAATATGAAAACTGTTCTCAATCCAGGGAGAGATTCAGCATTGGATTTGAGCATTCTGCAACATCTCAGAGTGATGCAACTACTAATCCTGGAAGCCCCGGGAGGGAAACAACTAACAACAGTACTAATTTGGAAAATTCGTCCATCCCAAATAAGCCAGATAGAAATATTCAGAATCCAGAAGTTAATTTCATAGAGCGACAGGATAGAACAACCCAAGTACAGGATCCTCCGGCTTATATCATCCACGAGGAACTCGGTCCCTTAACCACAATACAGGATACAACAATCTCAATACAAGATCCTCTAGCCCATAACATCAAAGATACCGGTCCCTCAACCCCAGTACAAGATACAATAACCCAAGTACAGGACACTGCTGCGCATAACATCGTATATGTTCACGAGGAATCCGGTCCCTTAATCCCAATACAGGATACATTATCCCTGTCACAGGATCCTACAATGCATATCATCGAAGATATTCACCAAGAACCCAGTCCCTTGTCTGCAGAACAAGATACAACAACTCCAATACAGGATCTTTGTGCACGTAGCATCGAAGATACTCGTGAGGAACCCTGTCCAAGTTCGAGCATAACATGGCGAGAAATGGGCTTTGATTACAGAAATCTTGACGTGCAAGAAACATGCTCGGAGGATAGAAATCTCGCTTCACAAGAAACAGCAGGCAATGAAGAAGTGAGCACGTCTTGTGGTGTCTGGGATGGAAATGATGTTGCAGAAGAGCTCGAAGAGAACTACCAAGAGCATGCTGAAATCAATTACGATTGGATCAGTGACATTTCTCGCCCTCGGAGCTACTGGGAACACCGCAGGCAAGAATGGTACCGTGAAATGCTTAACTCCAACTCGGACAATGCTGAAATTCGTCGACTACTTGAAAGGTACATGTACCAACCATACTGATTTCTTAATTGTATTTCTAGTCTTGAGCTTGAAGAGTCACAGTTTAGATAAATAACTATGCATGCGATTCGAATAGTATCTATCAGATACTGTGAGCATCAATTGTTTGTATTTCCATCATAGCTTGTAGACAAGGATCGTGAGCACTTTACTTATTTTCCTATTTTCAAAATAAATTATGTGGTAATATTATGCATGAATAAATGTCAAGTTGAAAAAAATATCAAATGTTTGTGGATGAGTATATATGTGCAGATAATTATCAAAGTATGACCTCACATCCTCATAGTCAGAAACTGTATGCTCTCTTTAATTTTGTATGACGATTCACAATTTCACACCTAAATTTGGCGAATTCTAATTCCCAATTCATCCATGCAGAGGGACAGTGTCAAGTTTTCTTGCGAGTGATTTCCGAGAGAAAATGGACAGATTGATGGCGACTCGCTTAGAAATTAGGCAAGCGCATCCTGTTGGTGGCAGCCAAGGTGAAGAAGTTGAAGGGAAAAACCAATTCTTGTCTTTCCTCCAAAACCGTCAACGACAGCAGCAACAACAACGACATGAAATTGGGGAAGAAGAGATAGAAGGAGAAGAGCAAGAACAAGAACAAGGTGAAGGAGAAGAAGAAGAAGAAGAAGAAGAAGAAGAGAGTTTAACTAGTGGTCAATATCACGAAGCCGGTAATTATTTTGATCAATCAACATCATCACTAATGCAATTTCCTTCACCAACTCTACTAAGATCATGGAGTTTTCGAGATGACGAAGTTGGTGATGACTCCAATCTAGCTACATCGACCTCTCCAAGCCAAAATTTCCCATCACAACCTTACTACCATACTGCTCGGCAATGCACTTCCTCCAGAAATTATCCTTCAATTGTAAGTACTCCTACATTTTTCAAATAATCATCTCAATATATTGTATTCTGAAGATTCTGTCAATGAAATAACTGTGCAATAAACTTGTCAGGAAATGGAAATGATATGCGAGCTAAGAGGGCAAATGGAGCAATTTTATCAAGAGATATCTGAGATTAGAAAATCATTAAAGAGTTGCATGGACATGCATATGATACTAATGCAACAATCCATGAAGCAGGACCTTCATTCAGGTTTTTACCTATTCCTTTAAAACTTGGTCAATCTGAAATGAATATGGACCAAATAAAACCTTCTTCTTCTTCTTTTTTTTTTTTTTTTTTTTTTTTTTTTTTTTTTTTTTTTTTTTGACCTTTCCTTTGCTTTACTTTGCTATATTACGAGTTAAAAAATAAGGAATGTTTCTGCACTTTTTGGTAAACTTAAAACTGAAACTATGTATGAAACAATTGTTTCAGTAGAAGGGGAAAAGAAATCATTTGGCAGGGCAGTACCAAAGAAAGGAAACTGTTGTATCTGCTATGAAATGAAGGTCGACTCTCTGTTGTACAGGTAATCCTTGCTTTTGAAGCTTAGAATTTCCCTTAAAATGATTTGAGCTTTTCATTTCCCAAATTTTGGACTTTTGCTTTCAAAAAATGTTTCTTTTGATTTATGTACATTTTTTTTTATCAAATTATTTATTCGAGGACCAAAACTAGTGAAGAAAAAAATTCGACCAATGTTTGTTTAAAAAATAGAGTCCAAAACGTTTCATCACAGGTTCTTGAATGTGTAAACCATTTTGGTGATGTTGAAATTGTTTTCTTACAGATGTGGTCACATGTGCACATGCTTAAAATGTGCACATGAACTTCAATGGAATAGTGGGAAATGTCCAATGTGCCGAGCCCCGATTGCCGATGTCGTAAGGGTATATTTGGAATTGGATTCATAGACTAATTGGTGATGGCGAACGAGTTCTTGCTCCAGAGGACCGTCTCTTTTCTTCCTTTTAAGAAGCAAAACTTTAGTGATCAGTGATAACACACTTTGAAGAGGAAATTACTTTGTTTATACATTTTTGCGTTTGCCTTTTTGTCTATCTAATACTTACTATTTGAATGCGTTAAAGTTAATCCACGCAAAAAAAAAAAAAAAAAAGTTTTTCACTTTTTCACTAACGTCATGTGTAAGGTTTGTTTTAAGGAGAATTCGCACTAATTAACAACCGTTTTGATTCCATTTTTGAACTTGTATATGTCAAGTGGAAAAATGACACTACTGTTTGTGCTCGGCTTTATATTGTATAGGGAGACATGACTGGAAAGAAGATATGACATCGATCTCTGTTGCTACTTTCACTTGACCACACTGGCCCATGGCCTTGCATGGATTTTATTTAGGGAGAAAGAAGAAAATAAGCCAAGATTTGAGATGAATTAAAATTAATAGGCCAATAGTTTACATAAGTTAATAAATAGGCCAAATTAATGTTTTCGTCCATAACTTGTCTAGTTATGAACCATAGCTTGACAAGTTATTGTCCATAATTGTCTATAACTTGTTTGGTTATGAACCATAACTTGACAAATTTGTCCATAACTTATTTGATTATGAACCATAACTTGACAAGTTATGGCCTATTAATTTCTATAACTAAAAATTGGCCTATATACTTTCTTAAGCTTTTCATATTGGCCTATTTTCTACTATTTTCCTTTTATTTATATCTATAGACGTTATTTGTGATCTTAATCTTAGCTACCTATTATGTTTTGAAAGCTGAAATATTGCTCTCTATTTTCTATATTGAATGAGTAATTCGGTACATTAGGGTTCCTAATTTATAATACAACTATGAAAATCAAATCTCCTAGAACTTAGGCCTAGAGATCAGGAAAGTGATCTATTTTAAATTAAATCAAATCAGGAAACAATCTATCCTGAATAGGGAACAATATCCCTAACAATAAATTCGGGATTTCAACACTCTTCCTTAAGTTGGATCATATATATTAATCATTTCTAACTTGCTTAAGAAGTCATCGAATTTTTGTCTTGCGAGCCCTTTGGTGAATATGTCTGCAACTTGATCTTGAGTAGGAACATAGGTCATGCAAATGATTCCCTTCTCCACCTTTTCTTTAATGAAATGTCTATCCACTTCCACATGCTTGGTTCAGTCATGTTGGACTGGATTGAGTGATATATTAATTGCCGCCTTGTTATCACAGTAGAGTTTAACCGGGAATTCTACTGTAATTTGGAGCTCCTCTAGTAGTTTTCTCAGCCATAGTGCTTCACATATTCCTTGGGTAACCGCTCTAAATTCTGCCTCAGCACTGCTCCGAGCCACCACATTTTGTTTCTTGCTCCTCTAGGTTACTAAATTCCCTATACAAACATACAGTATCCAGAAGTCGATTTTCTATCTTCAATTGAACCTGCCCAGTCTGCATCTGTATAGACTTCTATCCCTCTGCAGCTAGTCCTTTTGAAAAATAATCCTGCCAGGTGATCCTTTGAGATACCTAAGTATCTTGTATACTGCCTCCAAGTGAGCTTCTTTTGGCAAGTGCATATGTTGGCTAGCCACACTAACTGCAAATGCAATATCAGGTCTAGTATGGGACAAGTATATTAGCTTGCCTACTAGTCTTTGATATCTGTCTTTATCAACCAACTTTCCATCGTCTACAATCTTCTTCCCGGCTTCAACCGGGGTGTCACTTGGTTTGCATCCAAGCATACCTGTTTCTGTGAGAAGATCAAAGACATATTTCCTCTGGGAGACATTGATTCCTTTCTTTGACCTAGCAACTTCCATTCCCAAAAAATACCTCATTTGCCCCAAATCTTTCACTTCAAACTCCATAGCAAGAATACTTTTCAATCTCTCCATTTCTGCTATATTATCACCAGTAAGGATTATATCATCCACATAGACTATTAGGATCACCTTCTTCCCATCTTTGGCTTGTTTGAAGAACACAGTATGATCTGTTTGACCCTGTAAATATCCTTGATCCTTTATCACTTATGCAAATCTGTCAAACCACGCTCTTGAGGTCTGCTTAAGGCCATAAAGTGATCTCTTAAGTTTACACACTCGCTTGTCTTCTTGCCCTTTGCTGAATCCCGGTGGCATGTCCATATAGACCTATTCTTCTAATTCTTCATTCTAGACGGCATTCTTGATGTCGAGTTGCTAAAAGGGCCAATCCAGATTAGATGCCAAGGATAGAAGAACCCAAACTGTGTTTAGTTTTGCCACATGAGCGAATGTCTCGGTGTAGTCGATGCCATAAGTTTGTGTGAAACCCTTAGCAACAAGTTGAGCTTTGTATCATTCTACCGTTCCATCCGCTTTGTATTTGAGGGTAAATACCCACTTGCAACCCATTGTTTTCTTCCCTCTCGGCAGCTCCATTACATCCCACGTCTCATTTTTCTTCAAAGCTCTCATTTCCTCCATGACAACATTTCTCCACTCCGGAATGGCTAATGCCTTCTGCACATTCTTTAGAATTTCTATATTGTTGAGATTAGAGACAAAGGCTTGGAAACCATTAGTCAAGTTTTCTTGTGACACAAACTTGGAGATGGGATGAAGTGTACATGATCGTGGCTTTTTTCTGTGAGCTATAGGAATATCAATATCAGGAATTTCAGGGGTATTAGAGATACCTTCTTTTGTGATGGTCTCGGTCATACTTGGATCTATCACCGGGTTGGATTCTCTTGGTGCTTCAGAAGTGAGGTTGTCTTGATATTTTCTTACAGATGTGGTCACATGTGCACATGCTTAAAATGTGCACATGAACTTTAATGGAATAGTGGGAAATGTCCAATGTGCCGAGCCCCGATTGCCGATGTCGTAAGGGTATATTTGGAATTGGATTCATAGACTAACTGGTGATGGTGAACGAGTTCTTGCTCCAGAGGACCGTCTCTTTTCTTCCTTTTAAGAAGCAACAACTTTAGTGATAAGTGATAACGCACTTTGAAGAGGAAATTACTTTGTTTATACATTTTCTTGTTTGCCTTTTTATCTATCTAATACTTACTATTTAAATGCGTTAAAGTTAATCCACGCAAAAAAAAAAAAAAAAAAGTTTTTAACTTTTTCACTTACGTCATGTGTAAGGTTTGTTTTAAGGAGAATTCGCACTAATTAACAACCGTTTTGATTCCATTTTTGAACTTGTATATGTCAAGTAGGAAAAATGACACTACTGTTTCTTTTGTGCTCGGCTTTATATTGTATAGGGAGACATGACTGGAAAGAAGATATGACATCGATCTCTGTTGCTACTTTCACTTGACCACACTGACCCATGGCCTTGCATGGATTTTATTTAAATCTATAGACGTTATTTGTGATCTTAATCTTAGTTACCTATTATGTTTGTTTGTTTGTTTTTTAATTTTTTTAACCACTTCTGTGACTACTATCCCAATGGTATTGATCCTCATCATCTTCCTCATTTTCTTTGTCAACATAGGATTGGTAAATTTCTGTGGAGGCAGATTCATTCTCTATATCTTGCTGCCATGCCGGATCATCATCATCATCTGTTGGTGATGATGATTCCCCATCGTCCTCGTCATTCACATCATCCTCATCACCCCCATCATCTCTATCATCCAACTCAGCCCCATGATCCACATCATCCTCATCATCCCCATCATCCTCATCATCCCCATCATCTCGATCATCCAACTCAGCCCCATGATCCACATCATCTTCATCATCCCCATCATCTCTATCATCCAACTCAGCCCCATGATCCACATCATCCCCATCACATCTCTATTATCCAACTCACCCCATGATCCACATCATCCCCATCACATCTCTATTATCCAACTCACCCCATGATCCACATCATCCCCATCACATCTCTATTATCCAACTCAGCCCCATGATCCACATCATCCTCATCATCTCTATCATCATTATCACCACCATCATATTCAGAACTCATTAAACACAACAAATTTTCCCTAACCACTTGAGGTCTTTCATGAGGTCCCTCATTGTCATCTATCTCCTCAATTCTTACCATATTCTGAAACAGATGACAAAGCAAACAAAACATAAAAGTCCATAAAAATGCAATCTGTACAAGAAACCAAAAAAATAAAAAATATATATATTTAATAAAAGCTCATCATGCACGACTGAAAACCACCCATATTTTTATTTCCTTAGGTAATGATCAAACTAAAAGTTCAAACAAGTTAAGAACTATGACCCACCTTCAAAAAATCACAGCAAACCACTACTTGGCTTCTAGTCTACGTCTCCTCTCAAAAATCGTCAGAGTTCTTCCCTAACCCTCAGTTTTCCTTCAACAAATCGCGAAGCGGAGGACGGCTGTTCAAGAATTTTTTACTTTCACGAACTCGTTCTCTCTGAGGATCTGGCTAGAAAAGTGGATGATGTGTTAGATGAGTGGAACACCTTCCATCTCAAATCTGAAATTGAGAAATTAGGAGAAAGTAGCATTGCTCCTGCTGATGGAAAGAAGAAGCTATGCTTTCCATGCCCACTTGTTGCTTTGTTTTACCAAAGTCAAACAACTCAGTGTTCGTCGTGACGTTTTGCTTAAGATCAAAGAGCTTAATGAAGGGCTGGATTTGATTGCCAATGAAAAAGATAAGTACAATAATCTCAATAGTGGGGGGGTCTTCGTTTTTGATGAAGCTGAAATTCAAGGCCGTATTAATGTAGAGAAGGATGATCTAGTAACCAATTTGTTGTCCAACAGTAGTCATGAAGGGAAGGGGTTTGATATCATCCCTATTGTGGGGATGGGGGGGCTAGGAAAAACCACTCTTTGCCAACTAGCGTATAATGATGATAGGATCACTGCTCATTTTGAGAAGAAAATTTGGGTTTTTGTCTCTGATCCTTTTGATGAGTTGAAAAATTTGCTAGGGCGATTGTTGAAGTCTTGGGTGGTGATAAAGATCTTGTTCAATTGGAACCCTTATCACAATGCATTCATGAATCTATAACAGGAAAGAAGTTTCTTATTGTCTTAGATGATGTGTGGACTGAAGAGAAGAACAAGCGGGAAAAAATAATTGCACCGCTAAAATATTGCGCAAGTGGGAGTAAAATACTGGTCACGACACGAAAGAAGGACGTTGCAATCATGATGAGTGCAACCATTCGCATGGTCACTCTTAGAATTTGTCTGACACGGATTGTTGGGAGATATTAGACATCAGGCATTTGCAAAAAGAAATGAAGTATAGCGCCAACAACTGGAAGAAATTGGTAAAAAAACAATTGCTCGCAAGTGCAAAGGTTTACCTCTCATTGCAAAGATCTTGGGAGGTTTTATGCAATTTGAGGAGACCAAGAATGAATGGGAGAGCGTTTTGAATGACAAACTATGGGAATTGAAAAATAATGATGAGATTTTTGCTCCGTTCCTTTTAAGTTATTATGATTTGCCTCTCTTGGAAAGGCGTTGTTTCTTATATTGCTCCGTCTTTCCCAAAGATCATGTGATTCTACTAAACACTTTATTTAAGTTGTGGATCGCACACGGTTATTTTGGTGATGATAACATGAAAAAGTCAGAGCAAGAATGTCAAGATGGTTTTAACAGTCTAGCAAGGCCGTCCTTTTCTCAATAATTTTAAAAAATTGATCAATTTGATTATACAGGAACAGGCAGTATTATTAGTTACAAGATGCATGACATAGTGCATGACTTTGCTCAATTTTCGACTAAAAAGGAATATGTCATTCTGGAAGTTGGCAATGTTAGTGAGGTAACAAAGTTGCTGGATGACAGAACCAGACATTTGACTCTAGTGGTCGAACATGTAGGAAAATTTTCTACCTTTAATGTCAACACGGATAATTGAAAAGAATCTGCGCAGTTTTATCATTCTATCACATTACAGAAGAATGCATGGTTTTGATAGCTCACAGTTCTTGCACCTGACACATCTTCAAACATTATGTCTGTCTGCATGTGGTCTTCAAGAACTTTCGCGTGATGTTGGTAGATTGATTCATTTGAGATATCTTGATTTATCCGGAAATGACTTGAAAGAACCTCCTAATACAATGTTTGGTTTATTTAGTCTGCAATCCTTAATTTTGTCGGAATGCAGCCTTGTACATTTTTACAAAACGATGTTGGTAAATTGAAACATTTGAGGCATCTCGATTTGTCTGAGAATTCGAATCTGTCAGAGCTGCCCAACGAGCTTTGCAATTTATGTGATCTGCGGACTTTGCTTTTGTCTAGTTGTCATGGATTGAAGAAATTGCCCGCTAAATCAAGAGTTAAAGGATAATCAATTGGAGGAGTTGCCTGTGACGATAGGAGGTTTATGTAGTCTGCAACATTTAGACTTGCTTCGATGCGGGCTTAAGAAATTACCAGAAGATGTTAGGAAGTTGGTCCATTTGGAATATCTCAATTTATCCGGTTATGAAGATCTTGAGGGACTGCCTGACACAATACGCAATCTTTCTAATCTACAAAGGTTAGATTTGTCTCAATGCCGGATGAAAAAGTTGCCAGATGATGTGGGTAAATTTCAAAATTTGACATCTCTTAACTTAAAGTTTGAACATGGAGTTGAGTGGATTGCCGGACACATTATGCGAGTTATGTAATTTGGAATCTCTAAACGTGAGTTTACTTTCCTTGGAAAAACTACCAGAGCATGTTGGCAAATTGCGGTATTTGAGATATCTCGATTTATCGTGCAATAATTCGTTGAAGGAACTACGAGAATCGTTGTGCGATTTGAATAATCTACAAAGTCTGGATGTCCGTTCATGCTGGAAACTTCAACGATTACCAAAGGGAATTGGGAAACTGGTCAAGTTAAGATATTTGGATTATTCCTGGTGTCATGTGTTGGAAGGATCGCCAAAAGCAGTTCGGTCACTTGATTGTCTTCAGCCGACAGACGCGTTGATTATACCCAAAGATAAAGGAGCATATTAGGATTTTGGAGATTGTACAAATGGGTGTGGAAATTTAACAGGTACTGATGAGACTAAAAAGTTAGGAATACTGGTCAAAGGCCTCAATGAATTGCGGCTCAAATTCAGAAATGATAGAGACCTGCGTAAGTGGTCTAAAGAGCAGTATGGGATTGAACATGATAATGAAATACTTTAAAGCCTTTGAACTGCCTCAAAATTTGACACATTTAAGAATCACTGTTTCTCCTAGATGGATGATGTCCTCAGGTTATCTGTTTCGTCTGGAACTTGCTGATTGCCACAATTTTGAGAGTTTACCTTCTCTAGGAAGACTTCCATTTCTCGAGTCACTCTCGATAAGAAGCATGAAAAGAGTGAAAATGGTGGGTCTTGATTTTTTGGGAGTTAAAGAACATAGAGATGAAGAAAATGGTGCAACAAATTTTGTTTCGTTCCCTAGATTGAAAGAACATGTGTTTTGGATGATGCCGCAGTGGGAAGAGGCGCAATAGCAACCGACGACACAAATTTAAATATCATGCCATGTCTTCATTCCTTGGAATAGGAATTATGGGATTGCAATAGTTTCAAAGCACTGCCAAACTTCTTGCCATCGGTCCCATTGAAAAGCATGATCATCGGACATTGTAAGATTCTACAGCAATGAGCATAAGCATGAGCATCCGACATCCTACGACCCGTGATCCGTCTGATCACCAAAAAACCAACAAACCATTCTAAAAAAAAAGAACACATATTTGGATTAAAACTAAAATCAGTAGAATCAGACATCAATTTTGAAGTTAAAATTCTAGAAAAACCCAGACCATTTTGCCACAAATCCATTTGAAAAACTTATACAGGCCTGATTAATGTTTTATCCAAATTGTCCCCGATTGAGAGAGAGGAAGCCCTAGCCCCCTTGACGTTCTCGAGCAATTGAATCGCGCTCCATCCTCAAGCGGCTGCATCTGTCCTTCTAAATATTACGTGATGCTTTTGTGAATTAGAGTTTCAACTTTCAAGTATATTTCCATTTTACTTAGGTTGAAAGAAAGCCTCTCGTCTGTGTTCTTGGAGTTCCAAATCACATGACGTATGCAGATTTCTGCCATTTTTGCGGTTCATTTATTCATCACATTTTGGAGATGCAGATTGTCAGATTGAATTTTGGATCATGTCCTGGTTTTTAGTATTGATTATAATTAATCTAGATATATATATATATATATATATTGATTTTTTCCCCATGTTTGTTAGAAATGACGGAATGGAAGATTGTTATATCATTTTGATTAGGTTTGATAGTCAAGACTCTACCGATAATTTTTACAAGCACTTTAACGGGACTCAGTTCTCATCGCCAGAGGTATTCCTCAGTTTCATTACGCTCATTTTTGCACACTAGCATGTTTGTAGTTTCGTGTTAAAAATTCAAGTGGGGGATTGTTGGAGCAGTGTGAATTTTTTTTTTAATTAAAAATAAAAGTGGTTATATCTAAAGAGATTATCTATTAACAAATAAAGTTGCTATTTTGAACGAAAAAAAAGGGGAAGACTTAGTCTCTGAACAAGAATGACTTGGTCCATGATTTCCTCCACGATCCTCTCCACTCTCTCATGGTTTGTTCCTAACTTTCCTCATCGTCATTGTATACAATTTTCTTTAAATAGAGGCAGAGAGGATAGATTGAGATATAAAGTTTTTAGATGCTCTCTCTGGTAATCAAAAGAAAAAACTTTCTTCTTGCTTTCTGTTTTCCGAGCAATATTTGGGTGTTTGTATTCCGGCTTTCTTCAGTGCAGAGGAGGTCCGAGACAGAGGTGATTCTGGGCTGTTTTATCCTGGGGACGACGAGGCTGGTATACTGCTTGTACTACCTTGGGCAGAGCCGCGAAACGTCTTAAAGAAAGCGACTTAGTCCGCGACTCAACCCAAGATTTTGTTTGGTAAATTCGTTCCTTTTGTGTTCTGCACTAACAATTTTAAGACGTTCTTCTGCTATGACTTCCGCAATCGATTCTGCTACTGGTGATTTAAACAAGCCCTTTCGCTTTGAGGGGCTTAATTTTAAAAGATGGAAACAGAAGATGTTATTTTTCCTAACCATGAAAAAAGTTGCATATGTATGTACTTCAGAAAAACCCATATTAACTGAAAAGCCAACTGATAAACAAACTAAGGAATATGAGTCCTGGGTTGAAGATGATTTTCTGTGCAAGAATTTTATTCTGAATGGTTTGTCTGATGATTTGTATGACTACTATAGTTCTAACAAATTTGCAAAGGAGATATGGGATGCACTTCAGAAGAAATATGACACTGAGGAGGCTGGAACGAAGAAATATGCAGTCAGTCGATACCTAAAATATCAAATGACCGATGACAAATCTGTGGAGGCTCAATCTCACGAGCTACAAAAGATTGCACATGAAATCATTTCTGAAGGTATGTCTCTAGATGAACAATTTCAAGTTGCTGTCTTGATTGACAAATTGCCTGCTGGTTGGAAAGATTTTAAGAGTCTTCTCCGGCACAAAACTAAGGAGTTTTCTTTAGAAAGTTTGATCACTCGCCTTCGTATTGAGGAGGAAGCCCGCAAACAAGATCAAAAAGATGAAATTCTTGTTGTTTCAAACAACAATACTAATAAGAAAACCACCTCTGCCGTTTTGAAACCCAAAGGGAAAAACATGAAGAATCAGAATCGCAACCACAACAACAACCAGAATCGAAAAATTCAGAACAAGAATGCTCAACAGAATCAGAATGGACATAAACCCCCTTCAAGGAATGATTCAGGACAATTTTCATGTTTTAACTGTGGGAAGCCAGGCCATATGGCTCGGAACTGCCGGTATATGCGACGTTCTGCTCCGCAGGCGAACCTTACCGAAGAGCAACTTATTGCTATGATTTCTGAAATCAACATTATTGGAGGATCCGAAGGGTGGTGGGTAGACACTGGTGCTACTCGCCATGTTTGCTATGATCGTGCTGTGTTCAAGTCCTATTCTGAAACTGAAGACAAGAAAGTGTTGTTGGGTGATTCCCACTCCACTGTTGTTGCTGGTACTGGAGAGGTGGAATTGAAGTTTACCTCTGGAAAGACTGTCATCCTAAAGGATGTTCTGCATACTCCAGAGATGAGGAAGAACTTAGTTTCGGGATACCTTCTCAACAAGGCTGGGTTTACTCAAATCATTGGGGCTGATTTGTATACCATTACTAAAAATAATATTTTTGTTGGGAAAGGGTATGCTACTGATGGAATGTTTAAATTGAATGTTGATGTTAATAAAGTTGCACCTTCTACTTACATGTTGTGTTCTTTTAATACTTGGCATGCTAGACTTTGTCATGTTAACAAACGCATTATTAAAAACATGAGTAGCTTAGAACTAATCCCAAAATTGTCTTTGAATGATTTTGAAAAATGTGAATACTGTAGTCAAGCTAAAATTACCAAAACCCCACATAAATCAGTTGTTAGAGAATCTGAACCTCTTGATTTAATCCATTCTGACATTTGTGAATTTGATGGTATCTTGACTAGAAATGGAAAACGCTATTTTATTACATTCATTGATGACTGCTCTGACTATACTTTTGTTTATCTCATGAAAAATAAAAATGAAGCGTTTGATATGTTCAAACTATTTGTGACAGAAATTGAAAATCAGTGCAATAGAAAAATAAAGAGATTGCGTAGTGATAAAGGCACTGAATATGATTCTGATATTTTTATTGATTTTTATAAATCCCACGGGATTATTCATGAGAAAACAGCACCTTACTCTCCTGAAATGAATGGCAAGGCTGAAAGAAAAAATAGAACTTTTACTGAATCAGTAGTTGCTATCTTACTTAACTCTGGTGCTGCTTCTTATTGGTGGGGAGAAATTTTGTTGACTGTTTGCTATGTGCTTAATAGAGTTCCCAAATCAAAAAGTAAAATTTCCCCTTATGAAGTTCTTAAAAATAAGAAACCTAACCTGTCTTACTTTAGGACTTGGGGTTGTTTGGCTTATGTTCGGATTCCTGATCCAAAAAGGAAAAAACTTGCTAGTAGAGCATATCAATGTATGTTTGTTGGCTATGCCGTGAATAGTAAAGCCTGCAGATTTTTTGACTTAAATGCTCATGTGATTATTGAATCAAATGATGCTGACTTTTATGAAGATAGATTTCCGTTTGTATTGAAGAATAGTGGGGGCTCCACATCTAGTAATATGCCTATAACTAGAACTAATGAGTCTAATAAGGAATTAGAGTTTGAATCTAGGAAAAGTAAACGAATTCGCACCATTAAGGATTATGGTCCTGACTTTCATGCGTTCACTTTAGAGGAGGATCCTTACACCCTCCAAGAGGCCTTATCTTCTGTAGATGCTAATTTGTGGCAAGAGGCAGTTGATGATGAGATGGACTCTCTTGAGTCTAATAAAACATGGCACCTAGTAGATTTCCCTCCAGCCTGTAAAACAATAGGATGTAAATGGATACTTAAAAAGAAATTGAAACCCGATGGTACTGTTGATAAATATAAGGCACGTCTTGTAGCCAAAGGGTTTAGACAAAGAGAAAATGTAGATTTCTTTGACACCTTTTCACCTGTTTCTAGAATTACATCTATTCGAGTGTTATTTTCTCTTGCTGCTATTCATGATCTTGTTGTACACCAAATGGATGTTAAAACTGCTTTTTTGAATGGTGAATTAGAAGAAGAGATTTATATGGACCAACCTGAAGGTTTTGTTATTCCTGGTCAAGAACACAAAGTGTGCAAATTAGATAAATCTCTTTATGGTCTAAAACAGGCACCTAAGCAATGGCATGAAAAGTTTGATAATCTTGTTATCTCACATGGTTTCAAAGTGAATGAAAGTGACAAGTGCATTTATTGATTGGAATACTCTTTCAGATGACTCCAAGGCAACTAGCGGCTACATATTAGCACATTTGGTGGATCTGTTTCTTGGAAGTCTAAGAAACAGACTATCTTGGCTCAATCTACCATGGAGTCTGAGATGATTGCACTAGCATCAGCTAGTGAGGAAGCAGGATGGTTAAGAAGTCTGCTATCTGATATTCCGTTATGGGAGAGACCGATTCCAGCTATCTTGATCCATTGCGATAGTACTGCAGCTATTGCGAAAATTCAGAACCGTTATTATAATGGAAAAAGGCGACAAATACGTCGTAAGCATAGTACTATTAGAGAATATCTCTCCACTGGAGCTGTGAGAGTGGATTATATACGTACTGATGATAACATGGCTGACCCTTTGACGAAAGGATTAGCTAGAGAAAAGGTTTGCAAAACCTCAAAAGGAATGGGACTTATGCCCGTAGATTGATGAGTCACTTGTGATGGAAACCCAACCTATGGACTGGAGATCCTAAGAAATAGGTTCAATGGGTAATAACAAGTCATGAAGTGATATGAATTGGATCATGCTAATATAACAATATTTGTTATATTCCGAATATCTTACTTTGAAGCATGAA